ATAAATAAATAAATAAATAAATAAATAAATAAATAAATAAAATAAAATAAAATAAAATAAAATAAAATAAAATAAAATAAAATAAAATAAAATAAAATAAAATAAAATAAAAGTACTGTAAAGGACAGATAAATATTCAAGATTTTTACTTGCTAAGAAGACTGAAGGTGAAATGTCAACTCAGAGAATAAATGAAATACAAGAATATGATAAAATAGTGCTTTGGATATGTAGATTTAGATAATGACCTAACACTGAAACAGAAGTACAGTACTTGAATTATGGTTGAAAGTATTGAAAAAAAGAATGAAGTGGTGGAGAAGCAGGGCTATGCACTTCGAGCACTAACCCTGGACTTAGAAGCAAATTAAGATGCCCAGGAACTGAGTCCTAAGATGCAGTGACTCCTGTGAGAATCATTTCCAAATATGTTGTCATGTTACTCTTTACTAGTACATTGGAAAATGAAATAAAGGGAAAAGAGTGAGGAAAAGCAAAATGTTCTGGCACTGGAAAAATTTATTTATTTTACTGTGAATTTTTGTGGCTTAAAATCTATTTAAAACACTTCAGGTTTGAAGAAGGGAATTTTGATCAATGAAAGCTCTCACTGAAAACTGATAGTCCTTAAAGTGCCACAATGTTTTGCTTTCTATCCTTTTCTTTTCTTCCCATAATTCTATTTTGGTTTTGGTGCTGTCTGTGGCAATCTTGCCAGAGGTGTTTCAAATTTATCAGATGCTAACTTTCCTTGCATTATTCTGTGCTCTTGTGGGTCTTAAAGTTCTGGAAGTTACCGTAACTCTGGCAACCTAAAACAATCCCATTCAGCTCACAAGTTTGTTGAATTTAAAATACATTATCACTTTCTAATGTATGTCTGCTTTCCAAATAAGTAGTGTTACTCTGTCTTAGCATGTTCTACTTGAATCCTGTCACCCTGTACAGTATTACATGTGGCTAACAGTTCTCAACACCTCCGTTTCTTCAATTTCCTTGACCAGATGAAGTTTTTCATACTAGCATTATTCCTAATGTATAGTGATGGTAGAGTTGGTAATGCTCGTGTATTTCAGAATGACATATTCCAAATGATACTGACTGGAATGTTTACTATTTTAATGTACAGCAGTTCTAACATACTGACAGACATGCAATTGTTTCCTGTTCTTTCAAGCTGGGAATGTCTGGCTGTATGCCATTTTCCTCTCCAGGAAATAAAGTTTGACTCCTTAGGAAATGTGTGGGAGTGCAGGAAATCCTTCTGAATGTATTCATGTAATTCCCACTACTTTCTCTGATAATGGCAAAGGGTAAACAATATTTCTGAGCCTTACGCTTTTTAAAGACCTTTATAAAGTGTTTCTTTGACTTTTTTTCTTCTGGGTGTTGTATCTTATTTAAACACACAGCTTATTTGCAACAATCTTGTTTCAAAATCCTTTTTATGCCACCTTTTTCCGTGCAGAGGGTCAAAGAGCAATTAAATGTAGGTATCTATTCAAGAAAGGCAGAAAAGTTACTTTAAGTACGGTAACTTTTACCTTACATTTTGAGCTCTTTGTAAAGAGCATGTTCAAGTGTGATTAGGCTAATAACAAAGAATTATTTAAGAACTTTATCAAGAAAAGGAATCTTGTCTTTTCTGAGTTTGACAATATATATATGGATACACACAAATATACATGTTAATATTTTATGAGTGCATATGTATAAATATTTATACATGCTTGTGTGTTTATGGTCATGCATGTGATTATTGACATTTGTTTGTGTGCATGTGTATAATGTAGACACACACATGTATGATGAAAGAAGCAATTTTAATTCTGTTCTTGATTTCTGAGTTTTATTGCTTCTCACTTTTGTAAGTTGGGAATCATAGTTAAGATCCAGCAGTGATGTAAAGGAAATTTTTTCCTGCTGCCTGTTTTGCCTTGTTGCTTCTTGAAATACTGTGTGTGTGCACGCACACATGCAGATGTGCACATGTGTGTATATGTAATTGTGAAAGTATGGGAAGTAATAAAGAACGAAGTGCAGGCAGACTTGAAATAGAGAATGAATTGTAGAATGATTGCATTTTCCCATTTGTATCAAAATCATACTGTGCCCTCAGGCTGTGGCACCAGTTAAAAACTCAGGATTTTTTAAATATGTTATAATCAGAGAAGGGAATCAAGTTGGGCTTTTAGTAGCACCATGTGGCCCATAGGCCTCATATAGAAAATCTCACTATACCTAAAGTTACTGGGCTAACTTTGTGTAGAAAAGCAGACATACATTTCATATGTAGAAAGTCAAGGCTTTTCTGTGTGAATGTGACATCCAAATTAATATGTAAAACTTTTTAAGGAGATTAAAAGTTGGTGATTTTTTTTATCCATTTAGATTTGTCTTTCTTTCAGTGATGCTTTTGAAATTGTACCTAGAGTTTTTATTTTTATTTTTAATATTACTTTTAAAAACATGTTGGCTGGGATTATTTTGAAGTAGGCAATAGCCACAGTCTGTTTTATATGCCAGTGCCCAAGTCTTGCATTCTTTGCTGTTTGTAACCTTATTTGGGAGGACCAGAATTCTTTTTGCCCAAAATGGTATATAATGCAGATATATTTTTAAGTGCAATACTTTTATTTATTTATTTCAGGTGCAATCTACTCTGTGGTATAGAGGCATTATGTACTCAGAGTGGAGGTCCCTGCACCTTGTAATTCAAAATGATAAGGGTCATACCAGTGTACTTCACAGCTATCCCGACAGTGTGGGGAGAGAGGTGGCAAATGCAGTTGTCCGTCCTCTTGGTCAAATCTTGAATGCTCCAGTAGCAGTTGGAAGTGAAAATTTATTGAAAACAGACAAAGAAGTAAGTATTCATTTGCAGATGTTTTATTTCCACTTTCTTGTGTGTAATTGCCAATGAGTTGTCTGGAGCAAGTTAAACTAAAAATGAGGTATTTTAAAACCAGGGTGGATTTAATTTAAATCAGATTGATTCACATCATGATTTAAATTATTAGTCTGTTAGCATTTAGTTTTTTTTTTAAATCTGGTTTCAATTAAAAAGATTTTTAAAATTTAAATCAGATTTTTATTTAAATTGGATTTTTTTAAAAAATAAAATGTTCACTGACTAGTGATTTAAACCAGGATTTAAGTTGATTTGATTTAAATCAAATCCACCCTGTTTAAAATATACTTCATGATTAATTCATAACAAAAGAAAATATGCTGCTTAGGTTCTGTATATTGAAGAAGATTGTGTGTCGCTATTCTCATTCATATTTGCACTTAAATGCCTTAGTTTATTTTACTTAATTTGATTGGATCTTTGGCATAGTAATGTATTATTTTGGTTAAACTGCTGTATTGCAGAGAAGCTTTCATTTTTGCAGTTTATGATCTGTTACAGCCCACAATGGAGCTCTTCTGCAGTTAGCAATGTACCCTCTAATTTTCAGCCCTGCTGGGTAGGGCTTCACCTCTCTTGCACGTGACTTCTCCGACTTCTCCTGTGTGTGTGCATGACACTGCTCCCCTGAGTGCAGAGTTCCATCATGACCGGAACCAAAGGGGCTGTGTGGAGAAAGAGGAAAGCTGCACAGAGGGAAGTACATGTGCACCTTAGAGGGAACCTTGGCAGTTAGTTATTTGTATTATTCCCTCAAATATTTGTTTTACTTCCTTAAAACTTCCTTAAAACTTGCTTATTCAAGTAATGTACTTTTTCAGATGCCGTATTTGTAATTTATCATTGGAATTGTCTTTTCAATTCAAATTGCATGGTACATGTAGTCAATCTTATTCAAACAGGAAGAGACAGTAGATGTAGTGCGTCCTTTGCTTTGATAAAAATGTGGTTAGATGTATACTGGAGCATAAGTGATCATGGGAAGGGAAAGCTTCAAAATGTATTTCATTCATTCCTAATATGCTGAATGTGCATGTTGATGGAATTATTATTTATTATTAACTATGCACATCATATTTCACAGTAGATTCCAATCCTATTTATACATCTACATTCCAGAAGGGCAAGCTGTAGAAAATATTTGTTTTTCTTTTCAGATAGAAAATAGGCTGAGAAAATATATTATTCCTGTAACAGATGCATATTAAAAAATGCTCAGGAGTCCAAAAGCCCGATTGTGGAGGAGAACCTTTATTGTAAAGCAATAAAAAAGCTCAAGTGAGAATTAAGCTGACATTGTTAATTGATTCTTTTCTAGAGAGAGAAAACAAGGCCCCCTTTTCCCAAAGAAAAACTTCATGAATCCATTATTTATACAGAACCATCAATAAGAATGATGCATTGCAGAGTTTCATACCCTCTTCTGAGTTTTTGTTTATAGTGTGAATTAGACAGATAGGAAGACAAAAGCATTTAGAGAGATGCACTTAATGCATAGACGTGTAAGGTAGAATGAGCAGCAGCAGATCAAGAGGAATTAGTAAATCAGTAAGACATACAGTGGTGCCTCGCTTAACGGGCACCCCGTTTAATGATGAAATCACATAGCGATTAACTTTTTGCGATCGCTTTGCGATGTTCCCTATGGGGAAAAGTCGCTTTGCGATGATCGGTACCCTGTTTCTCTTACCAATCATTGCAAAGTGATGATTTTTTAACAGCTGATAGTTGGTTCCAAAATGGCCACTGGGTAAAAAAATGGCCGGCCGCTTTTTTCTGAGACGGATTCCTCGCTTACCAGGCAGCGAAAATGGCCGCCGTATGGAGGATTTTCGCTTAAAGGTGAGTCTGAAGCCCATAGGAACGCATTGAAGGGGCTTCAATGCATTCCTATGGGCTTTTTAATATCGCATAGCGACGAAATCTCTTTGCAGCGATTTTTGCTGCACCGATTATCGTCGCTATGCAAGGCACCACTATATTTCTGAATAGACATGTGTAGGAGTATGCTAGAAGTTAGCTTAGGACCCAAGCAACTGTTTGTATATCTGCCTTCAAACATTTAGCAATTCTTTCACTATTTAGAGGTGTGTATATTACTGTATTAAAATATATGCTATCTTGGAAACACTTGTTAATTATATCGGTTCCAAAAATGAGTAAGGATCCAACTGATCCTGGTGTTGATAGACCTATTTCCTTAATAATTCAAGATGCTAAGATACTTATAGCAATATTAGCAAAGAGAATCAATAGTTTTATTACTAAATATTATTAAAGAACAAACTGGCTTTATAATAAGAAGACAAACTGCAAATTCGACTAGGAGTGTTGTTAAATTTAACAAGAAAACAAAAGGGGAAAGTAGGAATTATTTAACTGGATATTTTACAGCATTTGATTGCATGGAATGTACAACACTCAAAATGATTTTTTAAAAATTAGATTGGGGGAGTAATTTAAAGGTATATAGATCAATTATATTCAGAGAATACCACAACAATATTAACAATATTAACTATACTTCACAGGAGTCAATGCAATTTTGGAATGGGGCTCTAAAGAGGGAGGAAAATTGGTTATATCTCCAAATGGTCCCAGTGTGGGGTGGATACCATGATCTGTGCAGCTGCAGCAGCAGCAGCAGTAGTAGTTGTTGTTTTATGTTATTAGATGTTTTAGGTTTGTATGATTGTTTTATTTTTTTAAAAAATTAGCTTATTATCCAAGCATCTGTTTGTATGCCTGTCTTCCAACATTTAGTAATCCTTCCACTATTTAGAGGTGTGCATATTAGTATATTAAAATATGTGTTACATGGCATGGGGGCAGGCATATAGGACCATTGTAAAACAGCATTTCTAGATGTCAGATTGTATTAATGTGGCCCTTAGAATATTAGTACAGTGGTGCCTCGCTTAGCGAGTGCACCGTACAACGACGAATCCGTATAGCGATCCCCTTTTTCGATCCCTTTGTATCTTTGTCATTGCTGCATTTAGAAATGGTGTGTTGTGGCACAGGTATTCATTTAGAAGAGGAACATGTTAGAAATATACTAATGAAATACACTCTCTTATTTTCTTAGGTAAAATGGACCATGGAGGTAGTTTGTTATGGATTGACCCTTCCTTTAGATGGTGAGACTGTAAAGTACTGTGTTGATGTATATACAGACTGGATTATGTCTCTGGTTTTACCTAAGGACTCCATTCCACTGCCAGTTATCAAAGAACCAAATCTTTATGTTCAAAGCATTCTCAAGCATCTACAAAATCTCTTTGTACCAAGGTGAGCAACAGTGCATTGCAAATATTTCCATGTTTGTGGTGTGGCTCATACCCAGTCAATTCAGACAAATTGGTGGTTTGTTATCACTAGCTGTAATAAACTAATATATTTACCTTCAACTACTCTTGAAAAAACATTTTTAGATTCATATGGGATAGGGATGGGCATGAATAACCTCTTCAGTAGTTGGTGCTGATTTGTCATTAGGATGAATAGTTGTTCAGCAGTTCCCAGCCACCTCCTCTAATGAGTGCCCACTCCAGGCAGAGCCTGGAGGAGGTGGGGCAGGGAAACTGGGGCTCTGCCTTTGAGTGGGCGCTGCCTGGAGTTGGTGAGGCTGGGAATTGCCGAACACTTGTTCATCCGAAGGACAAACTGGCATGAACTATTGAACCAGCGTTTGTGCCCATTTATAATATGGATATAGATAGAGTGGTGCCTCGCAAGACGGATTTAATTCGTTCCACGGTTAATGTTGACTTGCGAAAAATTTGTCTTGCGAAACGCGTTTTCCCATAGGAATGCATTGAAATCTAATTAACGCGTTCCTATGGGCAAAAAAGTCAGAACAAAGTCAAATTTGGTTTACAAAGGGTTTATTAAGTGCTCTTTAAAGCCATACATATTGTGCAGATGATTTCAAAAATGTCAGTCAAAAAACTAACTTTTTAAAAATCGTAGAAAAACATTTAAAAATCAGCAAATATGAGGCAGGAACAAAAAACGGAAAATATTCACCTTGCGAAGCATGGCCAGAGGAACATTCGTCTTGCGAGTCATCAACCCCATTGCCAAAACCATTTGTCTTGCAAGTTTTTTGTCCTGCGAGGCATTCGTCTTGCGAGGCACCACTGTATTACTTGCTCATTTGGAAATTGATATCAGTTGATATATATTAAGAACACTACAGTATTTGGTTAGCTACAGAAAAGGAGCCAGTTCAAAAGACCTACACTATATGGAAAAGACGTTGAAGGTTAAAAAGAGCTCATTTCAGAAAAAAATAATCTAAATTTTATATATGTGTATATTTCTTGCTGGATTGTTTGTGACTTCCTTTTTAAAATGTTGTGGAAAGTAAAAAAAGAACAAACCTTCTGGTCTTTACAAAGGCAGGAATTTACTTAAAACAAGAAAAAAGCTACCAGAAGCTAATGTAAAGCATTTCTTCTAAAAACTCAACGGCCCACATATTTCTAGTGCTTGTGTTTCTTCAGGAACAGTATCTGGGAGAAAAAACATTCAATACTTTGTAATAGTTAATAAGAAATGTAAGTATTTGGCATAGAGTTCAGAAGAGCATAGCATATCTATATAGAATTCTTCATTGAAGAGTGACAACAGTGTATATCAAATAAAGACTTTATAAACATATAAGAGATTGCAGTGGTAAATAAATAAATACATATGTGTTATTCATTGTAAAAATTTAAGGACTATTATAATTTTATAAACTATTGCTAGCTACATGCTACGAAGGAGCAGGTGGGCTGGAAGCAACTTCAACTTGGTACTGCCTTTCAGTGCCTCATCCAAGTGGTATAACTTCTCCTATTCATGATAAGGCCACCTTGACTCAAGCCTGAACAACAGTGTATCAAGATTAATTTAGCCTACCAGCTATGTATGGCGTTGAGTGAATCTTCTGCATATCCAGGACAGTGGAAGCAAATGTGTTATCAAACCGCTGAGAGGTTTACCATGTTTTACTGATACAGTGTGTTCTCCTTGAGTCACTGATTTTTCAGGTCTGTTGTATGTATTTCTGAATTTTGATATTTTGAAAAAGATGGCATGGTTTTTCTTAATTCAGTTGTATATTTTGCTTAAGAGAGTTCCAGCTTCATTTGAAAGGAGTTCTCATCAGTGGTGCAAAACAATCCATTAAAATGTCTTTGACTAATTTTCCCTGTACTTTTTGCAGTATTTTTATGAAGGTGTAAGTAGCATGTTTTCTTCTATACAGGCAGGATCAAAGTTCCAGTCAGATTAAATTGTGTTTGCAAGTTCTGAGAGCTGTCCAAAAATTGGCTCATGAGTCAACCACTATGGCTAGAGAAACCTGGGAGGTTTTATTATTGTTCTTGCTACAAATTAACGATACTCTACTAGCAGCTCCAACAGTGCAAGGTTTGTCTTTTAACTTTTTCCATTTAATGTTTACACGTGTGTCCTTTTGCCTGAACACAACTGAATTAAAATGTTATCCTCTTCATCATACAAAAAGGAAGCATAGTCATAACATGACTGACATTGAAATGGTTAACTTCCATTTTTTGTCACATTTCGGTTGCTAACAGATTTCAGAGCAGAGAGGCTGTATTTTGCAGGCTTCTGAAAAACAGACATTAAATTTCTATTCCCAACTGATGTTCCTGTTGCTGACAAATTTCTTGGTATCTTTCTTATTCCTTCTGCTGTATTCACTCACAGATGCTTTGCACAGTAAGTTTAAGGCTTCAATGACAGTGGGGAGTAATGGTGCCCCTTGGTGATCATGGCAAGTGTGGTTAGTGTAGTTCTACAGGTTCAAAGCTTTTCTGCCTTGAACCTGTAGAAAAGGAGAGAGAGTACCAACCAGGCAGTTGCATAGCGACTCCATCAGATTCAGAACTAAGAAGGCCAAGGATTATTTGTCACTTCTGTGACTAAAGAGCCTTTAGAGCAGTGTTTCCCAATCTTTTTCCAGTTGCTGCTCCCTTTTATAATAGCCAAGTAACCTATGGACCACCCCACATTTGCATAAAAAGGCAATTTTAAAGGGTGTAAACATATTAATAACTAAATAATACATAGTTATGGGAGTTGTAAATCTGCGTCTACCAGATAAAATTTGAGAAGGAAAAAATGTCAATACCTTTTGAGTTTATTTTTTGGATATGGAAATTACCTCCATGTCTCTTCTCCCCCCCCCAAAAAAACGTCTACCAGATAAAATTTGAGAAGGAAAAAATGTCAATACCTTTTGAGTTTATTTTTTGGATATGGAAATTACCTCCATGTCTCTTCCCTCCCAAAAAAGCCCCCTCGATAAAGAGCCTCTCCCTCTCATTCCAAAATAAGCACTTCTCTCATGGCCACCCATGCCCCACTTCCTAGTTCTCCTTCCTCACCTTTTGTCCCTCTTCCCTTTCTCATCTGTGACTCAAGCAGGGAACAAAGGCACCTCCTGCCCAAGTCCCCTCTCTCTTCGCTGCACTGCCATCGCCACAGCTTGAAACTCCGGTGGGCCAAAAGACGCCACTGCCATGACAGCAACAACTTTTCAATCCTGGCACCATCTTGGGTGCCAGCATTCCCAGCATGCATTGTGCACTCACCTCATTCAGGCCTCTTTGATACTGATTGATGCTTGGGTCCAAAGGGCTGATCAGTCCTCCAACGGTGGATGCGGAGGAGCAAAGAGAAACGAGCGGGAGTGGATCTGTTTGAGGGGATCGGACTGATGTACATGGATAAAAGGAAAATCCATCCAGGGGGGCACACAAAATAACTAAGAACTCTAGGTTGCCAACAATTCTGGTTCAAATTAAATTTATCTGTGGGCCCAGATGATTAAAAGAAAACAGCATTGTGTATACCAGTGGTTCTTAACGTGGGTGATAATGCCCCCCAGGGGGCGATTTCATTTTTCAGGGGGGCAGTACAACGAAAAGGGGCGGTAGTGTATACCATATTTAATATAATAAATAGAAATTGCAACTAAAAACAACTGGTCATTCCCCCAAGAAAACACTTTATGACCCCCAGGTTGGGAACCTGTGCTTTAGAACGTTGATCATGGAAGGCTGTACCAGTCTTGCTCCCATCCTATTCCAGCCTGTTTTGCTTTGTACCACAAAAGTTGGTGGCAGAGGGTTGGATGCCTCCAAGCAGCATTATTCAACGCTATGCCTTTTTCCACCTGTCTTATCCTTGGAAAAAGCTGGCAGGAGTGAGATTTGCACAGAGAGGAGAATGTGGTGGACTTTACAAGCAATAGGTTGGTGAATACAATTTTTGGCTTCGCCAGCCAAAAATTGTGTGCCGTTGGTGATTTCTTTATGTTTTCTTGTAGTCATGGGCAATGTTGCCTCTATGTTGCATGCATGTGAACTCGCCCAAAGCTCTGTAGGGGTTGCACGCAGGCAGCCAGCATCCGGATTGTCTACTTCCCATTTCAAATGAAGCCCTGCACACCCTCACGCACACAGAGTGAGACTCCTACATAGTGGGACAGAAAATTAGAGGGAACTTTGGTCATGGGTGTCCAAATTTTGACTTTAGATTAGAATGTAAGAAGAATCCTGCTATATTAGAGTAAAAGGTATTCTAGTGCAGCATATGTAGATGCCTGCATATGAAGAAATAGTGGGGATAATTATGATGCCATACCGGCCAGGCATTTGGTGCATGGCTGCCTAAGGGAAGATGTGCTCTGTAATGGCAAACCAAGTGAAATTGCCCCAGAAATCATTGTCACCAAGTCTTAGAAGCTCTCATCATCATACTTGCTGTGGGTGAATGATTAGAAAGATGCCATGTAACAGTCTTTAGATTGATTTGGCAATCTTCTGTTTCCATATCAGTTATAGTTGGTGGTGATGTAGTTGGTGTTTCTAATTGACTCAACAATTTTTGTACTATAGCTGAACATATTTTTTTCATAGGCTCATTGTATGTCAACTTTGGAAAGGGTGATTTAAATTGGCAGAACAGTATCTGTGGGAGTAGGAAGTAGTAAATAACATTTCAGTTACTGCTCACATCACAAGTAAATCACACCTCCTCAAACAGCTGCCTTAAAATTAGAACACATTCACTGTAACATTTTAAAATGGATCTTCAACATTATAAAGTGGTGCCCCGCATAGCGACGTTAATCCGTTCCAGGATTAACGTCGCTATCCGGAATCATCGCTATATGGAATGTAAAACCCCATAGGAACGTATTAAAGTCCGTTTAATGCATTCTTATGGGAGAAAACTCACCGGTAAGCGAAGATTCCCCATTTGGCCGTCATTTTCGCCGCCTCGGTAAGCGAGGGCAGGGCGCGAAAACGCTGCGGGCGGCCATTTTCTGCACCCAGTGGCCATTTTGGAACCACCGATCAGCTGTTTTCTAAACATTGCAATGCGAAGATTGGTAAGCGAAACGCTTACCGATCATCGCAGTGCAATGTTTTGCCACCTAAAACATCGCAATGCGATCGCATTAGCGATTGCAAAAAAGTGTCGCTATGCGAATTCGTCATTAAACCGTGCGCTTGTTAAGCGAAACACCACTGTACTCTTTTGGCTCTCAGTCTTGTAGGCAGTAGAATCATTAACTATTTCTCCTCTGTGATTGCTGGATGTTACTCTTTATCAGACCTTGTTCATACGAAGTTTTCCCTATTTCTGACTGTTGCTGCCCCCACCTCTCCTCCATGAAGACGCCAGAGGTATTAATAGGAACAGTGTCTTATATTGGAGCAACTCAACAGCAATGGAGCCAGCATTGCTCAACTATAATAGAAAGTAGTTCTGTGGGCACCAGGGAGTTAACTACACTCCCAAACAGTTCAGGTCAATGAGACCAGTCCATAACAGTCTCTATTGCTGGGAGGAGCAGAGCCCTGCCTCCTCCACCACCTCCAAGGCACCCTTTAGATGCACTAAACACAGGGGGCTGCAGCAAGGCTGCTGTATGAAGGTGACTCAGCTGTCCCTAGAATAGAATTGCCTGGGAGCAATTGGTAGTTGGCACTAGCAGTAGTGGCACCATGCATGTGGTATTCCCCCCCCCAGTCGCCTGTCCAAATTTTACGGGGACATAGCTGGGCTCACCAGTGTACAAAGGTGGAGGAGGAGGTTGGATAGGAGGAGAAGGACCGGATGGCTGATGTGGACAGCACTGCCTGTAAGAGCCTGGCAGTAGCCCCTTCTGTGTTCTCTGCCAGCAGCGTGGCTGCATTGATTCTCCAGCCGTTTTGCCTCTCGCCATTTTGCCTTGTCCTGGTGTATTTGGACTGCTTCCTCCTACGGCACAAAGAACTCCTCCCAACACTCAGTGTTGGGATCCCAGCAATAGATCACCTCCCAACCAGCAGTTGAGTGTTCCAGCTTCGTTGGAACCTCCTGGGCCTCAAATGCTTCCCAATTGACAGCGTCTGCTGAGCAGTCCTTCCTCCTCACTCTCCTCTTTTAATCTCCAGCCCTTCATGTCTGCATGTGCAGCCTCTACAGTGTCATCCACATCACTGCCTCAGTCTACAGATGAATTGCAGGACGGGAATTTTGCCCTTACTCTTGGGGAGGTGGAAAGCCCACTTCTCCTGGTAGAGGGAGGGAGACCAGTCTCACATTGACACATAAAATAATTCTCTTAGTAGGCTTGTGGATTTGAAATCTACATCTAATACTAAATAGAACTGACTGCTGAAGTACAGTGATAATAAAAGGTGTGTCAGTATGCAGTAAACAGCGAGTGTTGTTGTAAAGCTGGATGTTCCCATGAGACAATTTCTTGTTAAGATCCAAAAATACGGAAAATATTTTAGGAGGTCAGAAGTGTTTTGCAGAGCTGCTGATAAAATATTATTTGGAGGTAGGTTTGAAAAATATATTCTTCCCTGCTGTGTTCCTCTTATAGGTGGTATTGCTGAGAATTTGGCTGAGAAGCTGATTGGTGTGTTGTTTGAAGTCTGGTTGCTAGCCTGTTCCAGGTGCTTCCCAACACCACCCTATTGGAAAACTGCCAAAGAGATGGTAGCGAACTGGAGGCATCATTCCGCAGTAGTGGAACAGTGGAGCAAAGTAATCTGTGCCCTTACTGCTAGGTAGGTGAAAAGGTTTCATTTCACCCTGATAATGCACTGAATATTCTGCTTTCTGAGTGGGATGTTTTAATGGATCCCATCATCAACATTATGCTTCAGAGAAGGGGGGGCAAGGTTGTTCTTGTCTCTCTCAGGTGAAACATTATGTCCCATCCAGTCACATCTATTAAAAATTACTTGTGAATGTTTGACTTACTTCTCCTACTTAAGTACCTAGTATTTTTAGAGGGATGTGTTTCTTGGGGGCATATTCCATGCAACATACTTTATTTCTATGAAATATATCTCATTTTTCACAGGTTCTACCTTTTTTGTGTAGACTAATAAGCACATCTAGTGATTGGGACATAAGCAAGTATTTCTCTTCTTGTTTTGCTATGTAAGCTGATAGTTCCTTGTTTGAATATCCTTGTAAGCAAAGTAGACCTCAGGGACATCCTGCAGCTCTAATACTTCCAAGAGTATGCTATGAGAGAAGCTAATGAGGGATAAAGAAATAATTAAACTTCGCCAAAATCCTTTCTTTAAATAAATATTTTATTGTATTTTTTTCTACTTTTCTATCTGTTGCAACCAGAGTGATTTATTACAATATGTGCCATTCATTTCATCTTATATTCTCTAACATAATATTAATCTAATATATTCTATTTAAATCAGTGTAGGTTTCATCCATGCATAAAGAGGTTCCCATTTATTATTATCCAGTCTATTATTTAGTGTATCTGTCAAAATATCCATTTCTGCTAGTTCCAAAATCTTCTCAATAAATTCCTTCTTTGTTGGCACCTTTGTAGTCTTCCACTTATTGGCATATACAATTCTAGCTGCAGTTATCAGGTGTAAGGTCAAGTAAGTCTTGTTTTTTTCGAGTGTAGCTAGTAAAATATTTAATAAGAAAATTTCTGGTGTCAAAGCAATTTTAACCCCTAAAATTTTCTCTTATCATTTCCCAAAAGTCCTTGGCCTTAATGCACATCCACCACATATGATAGAAGCTCCCTACTTTCTTTCACATTTCCAACAATTATTAGAAACATTTTCATACATTTCTGTTAATTTCTCTGGTGTTACATGCCATCTGTAAAACATTTTGTATATATTTTCTTTTAGATTTACAGTTAGTCATTTTAATATTTCATTTTCATCTTCCATTTTTTGCTCCATTAAAGTATTATATAAACCTTTAATCAATTTTTCCTCTGAGTCCAGCAACCCCTTATCCAAAAGTATTTTGTCTTTCTGAAACCCTGTAGTTTTATCTTTTACATATCTTGATTTTTTTTCAAAAAAACAAACAAAAAAACAAAATAAAAAAACAACCTTTGGCCAAAATGGTATTGGTCAATGTAGTGAATTGCACAAGAGTAGCCCCATTGGATCAATGGCAATTTTCTGAGGCAACTTATCTGCAAATTCCATTAATTGAAATACAGTAGGCCTAATCTAACTGACTGACTTTAGCATGCTAAACTGCAGTTAGAATAAGCCAAATTGAATCAATGGAACTTAACAGAGAAGTTGACCAACTAAATCAACATTGATTCGGTGGGCCTATTCCAATGTGATTTACTATGCCAAGCAACAGGATTTTAGCCACTGTGTGATATTTGTATGCAATTTTTTCCGCAAATGACTTTAGTGAAACAAGGGTGCCTCCCTTATAGTTACAGAGTGAAATCAAATAGACATAAAAACCCACTGACACTCTGACTTGTCCTCCAGATTGCTGCGTTTTACGTATGGACCATCATTTCCACCTTTTAAAATTCCTGATGAAGATGCCGGCCTGATTCCTCCTGATATGGATAATGAGTGTGTGGCCCAGACTTGGTTTCGCTTTTTACATATGTTAAGGTACTGTACACAAGAAGACATGCAATGTTACCTGCATATGTATCCAAAGCTGATAAGCCCTTGAGGTCATGGCTTGTTGGTGTAAAGTGCCACTGTATGTTCTGCATATATCCCAGTTGACAAAATAAGGTCATTTCCTTTCTCCAGATGCTGTTGATATTGTTGGACTTATACTGAAAATAAATAATCATTTTTTCCAGTGCCTGAGGAATGCTTGCCTTGAACTAAGTCTCTGCTGTTTTGCCCCATAGTTGTTCCTAGAGTAATTGCCTCTATACCTTGACTCACCAGAATGTCACTGTCAGCTTCAAACAGATTTCATTCTGTAATTCTTCATACCTTTCAGCTTTATTCCTAAAAGTCTCCTGAACCATCCATATAACTCATCCCTTTTCTTGATGTATCTGTGTGTCTGGACACAGTGTTGGGGTGTGGTCTTATTTCAAAGCCCTTGAGAACAAACCATCTGTCCAAATGTGACTGCTATTATTAGTTCCAGGATACAAAACAACTCACTATCTTCATTTGCTGATCACTGCTCATCAGTTTAATTCTATCAGATTGCTTGCTTTTCCAGACATCTACATGTTGATATTGCCTATTATTTTCTTTTAAAAATGTTTTTTTTAAATTCTCAGTGCATTGTAGATACTTTTTATATTCATTAAATGCATTATGATTATTAAAATGTCATCTTCTTCCTTCTTGTAGTAATCCTGTGGATTTGAGTAATCCAGCGATTATAAGCTCTACCCCCAAATTTCAGGAACAGTTTTTAAATGTCAGTGGAATGGCTCAGGAATTAAATCAGTATCCCTGCCTTAAACATCTGCCTCAAATATTCTTTCGTGCTATGCGTGGGATCAGTTGCTTAGTGGACGCATTTCTAGGTAACAGTTTACATTTTTAATAAGATGTTGCTTGCCTTTTTATAAACAATCTACATGATTTTTAGTTTCTATATTAGTATAAAGTATTTAACACATCAAATAGCTGCTTCCAGAACATTTTGAGGTTCTCTTTGCAATTATGTTTGCAGCTGAAATGTGTTCTGTTTACATCATTTGGTAAATTGACCTGTGCTACCATATATTAAACCGCCTTCAGGTCCAGTTAAAGAGTCAAAAGATTGGTGTGGATGGGCAACTTTGATGGCAGTGAAGACCTGTTCAGCAGACCATCAAGCTCTGACCCACAAACCTCCCCAGTACTTTTTCTGGAATGTCTGTCCAGTAAAATAAGTTTCTTATCATGGTGGTCTACTAAAAAGTGGTTACTAATACACTAAGCTAAATGGTTTAAATATCATTCATGTTCCTGCTTGTTGTTTCATACAGAATTTTCTTTAAAAGTGTTACCTGCATGTGTGTTGTTAATAAAAACACTTGTCTATTTTTATATGAAACTATAAATGCTTTAGTAAATGTAACTCACCTCATTTTACAGAAGAACTGTTTTCTGGAAATATTTCCATTTTGGTGCATAATATAGTAGCAATATAATCTCTTTCTTCTCTAGGAGTTGCTGTCTTTACAACCAGTTGGTGTGAAAGATTACCCAGATATGGTATTAGAATGTGTTGTACTCTTCTGGGTGGCAAGAATCTGGGCAGATGGGTGATGATTTTAACTGTGGTTGGGGTTTGAATGACCTTATAAAAGTGGCAGTATTCTGTCTCAGCAGTAACTTTATATTACATTATCTGTTTCCTATAAAATAAAATGTATGTTTATTTAATTTAATTTTCAAAATTGTTGACATTTAGAACCACTTCTCTATCATAGTAAAAATAGGGTTAGGTTGTAACAATGTGGGCTATATTTATATATATATTATAGATATGTTTATGAAGAAAGGGATAGAAAAGAAGCATAATTTTCATGATCCTCAGTGCCTTCTGCATCATTTCTCTCAGTACAACAAATATACATATGCATAACTATCTGTCAGATCTGTTTTGATTTGGATTCCTGCATTGATCAAGAGGTTGGACCTGATGGCCTTATATGCCCCTTCCGACTCAGTTATTTTATTATTCTATGATTCTATATTATCTTAATTATATTGTTGCGTAATTCTCATATTCTCGCAATGACAGAAGATGCATGCTATCTCAAAACAGTAATGAAATCTTTCATTTAAAGTTCTAGTGAAACTAATATCTAACAAACCTAAGACATAACTGTGACAGTTACGATTCACATCTGTATATGTGAGCATTGTGTGATTTGATCTCTTGTAAAAACTATAAGACAACTGTAATTCTGTTGTTGTTGCTATCATAGTTAAAGATGACTAAAATCCCTTAAAAGTAGAGAAACAAAAGAAGATCTCAAATAGGCTTTTAAACATGACAGATACTCATGAAGCATTGCTTGCATCTTAGTGTTTTAGGGTAACTATTAAAAGATGCTCGGCTGCTAAAGAAACAAAATATCTACCTATCGTAGTACAGATATCCACCATAGCCTTCCAGTCCTACTGTTTATACTAAACTTGGCAGATGTCTCATCTTGTAATAACTGAAAATGAACTGTGAAAGAGTTAGACTCTTACTGAAGCAAAGTAAACTGAAAAATATGCTTATAGTATTTTAAACAATGCTGTTTAAAATTTGCTGCAGCTGGTGTCAGCTGCCATTAAGAATAAAAGAATGACAGAATTCATACAGTATCTTAAAATTACTTTCTTATTTAATCCAATTTTAAAATCTGAATGTTTTCATAAATACTTCTTTATAACAGAATACTGCTTCTTTATTTTATAAAACTAACAGTACTTTCCCTTTTAATTGTGCTAATTGTTCCCTTGTCAATTGCGTTACTAAGGCAGATGAAAGAATACTGCCAATCCTTCACATGTAAATTGATTCTGTCCTTTGATTAAGATTCTACGTACACAGATACATGATCTATGACCTGTAGAGAGTATGATGTGTATTTGAGACTTGGAAATTAGCATATTGTGGGTATTTTATCAAAACATTGAATTCCTGATGTGTCATCATTAGCATCCTGAGGAGTCTAGCATTTGCCTTGATGTAGATGTCACTTAAATCTTGGATTGGATCCAGAGAAGTGTTATGGAGAAAAAGATAACCAGAAGGTGATCTGCTTGTTCCTCCTCTCTGGGGAGAGGGGAGGCCAGTTCATTCAGCCATTTCCCCAGTCCTCAGGAAAGAAATTAGGTTATGTGTATTGGGGGAGAGGCCTACTGGAAGAATAAGGGTGTGAGGAAAACAACTCCTGCTAGCCCATGTCACTGCACATTTGTCTAGACCCAATGCTACTGCTGGAAAACAGAATGGAAGGTATAATTTCCATGGAAAGGAGATGGAGTAAGCCTGTAAGTTTAGGGAGCATTCCTAGGGTGTACGCCTTTGCAGATTTAACTGAGAGTGTGTGCCCAGTATGGCAAGGCTGACTTCTTAGGACTGAAAGCATGCATAGGATTACTAAAGTCAGTTTGGGAAACATTATATTTGCAATTAGCCTGTGTTAACGTGAGAATTTGCTAGAAGAAAAGTAACATATTGCTTCAGAAAACAGTTGCACAAAACTTGAGGATCCACTTTAGTAATTTTTACTCTACAGACTGTCTTCTGCATAGATCACCCTTTCCTATTCAACAAATTAGTAAAGGGTTCTCACACTTGTCTGCTTAATACTTATTTTAAAAGAATCTGTCTAGATGTATCATTCAGTCCAAAATTAAGTAGTAAGTAGTAAGGAAGGATCGTTAGTGTGACTGGGAAGAAACTGTCTTTCAGTCAGGCTTTCTTTCTGCTGGTTCTATTACTCTCTCCATATTTTAAATTCACATGTGTGTGCTGCATGCTCATCTTTTTAAGGTAATCAGTGATTTTGTATATAGTAACTCCAAATGCTTTCCTCCATCAACATTCTGATTTTAATGAAAACTAATTGTGAAATAGGATTATTATTTAACACTGGTGCTGGTATAGCCGGAATGGCTCTGTCTTTCTATTTATATATCCACAGTGTCATATGATTTTGGAAGGATTTGATGCTAAGGATCCCTTTATATCTTTCAGGTATTTCAAGGCCTCGAGCAGATAGTGCTCCACCCACACCGGTAACTAGAATGAACATGCCCCAGACTACTGCTGTCAACACAACTCCACCTCACAACCGAAGACACCGTGCTGTAACTGTGAATAAGCCAACCATGAAAAACAGCACAGTAAGCCTCTATACTTAGTAAAGCAATGCTGTGTTTCCCATGAGACAGATTATCATATGTTTACTAATATGGTTTATATGATTTGTCTTTTAGTTCTGATCAGATGACAATTTTCTTTGTTATTCAAATAGGCTAGCACGGCTCATACTTCCAAAGTACAACACCAGCCATCCTCCACTTCTCCACTGTCCAGCCCAAACCAGACCACTTCTGAACCTCGACCTCTCCCTGCTCCCCACAGGCCAAAGGTTAACAGTATCTTGAACCTCTTTGGATCATGGCTATTTGATGCAGCATTTGTTCACTGTAAGCTTCATAATGGAATGAACAGAGACAGCAGTATGACAGGTAAATATTGCCTATCAAATCTGTATATTCTGTTTCTTCTTAGCCGTCATTTCCTACCTGCAAGATTAACATGTCTGATTAATAAAAAAAATCTGACAAAGCGTCATGATTAATGGATGTCAAATATCATGTTAATTCTAACATAAATAAGATTCTATTTTTATTTATAACATATGGGTACATGGTCATTTTTTGTGGTTGGCTCACATGTTTCTATGAAAAAATTCCTTTTTTCCAATGAGACATAGGCAATGGGATAATGGAAATAATTTCTCTGTTTCCTCGAAGAGCATTACTTTGAGAGAAAGTTCTCTTGCTATGAATTACTTCAGTCAGTTATTTATTTATTTATTCATTTATTAGTTACATTTATAGCCCACCCATCTAGTGGTGAACCACTACTCTGGTTAGCAAAGAAAAGTTAGAAGCACGTATCCACCCACATAGTAGAAGGGGCAGGCAAGCACCCTAAAAGGACCTGTCTGTAACGCTTGGCTTTTGATTTGCTTTACTTTTGAGAAATGTTACCTTGATTTTCATAGAGACCCTAACATGAAATATATGCATCCCAAAGGAAGAGGAAATACTTTAACTTCAAGGGTTCTGTAAACCTGTAGCTTTTAAATCCTAATGGTTACACCAATTTTATGGGGAAAATTTTTATTGCTATTTCCTTGGAACTAAAACCAGATATGATGAAGATGATGTCATAAATTTCAGATAATTATTATAGTGATATGTTTGTTCATGCCATATATATCAAAGACAAGACTTCTGAAATAAGAAAATTATTTAAATTTGAGTAGAACAAGTTCTAGTAATACTTACTGACTGTTAGTGGTAATGAGATTGGTCACTGGCCAGTATTTCAGGGTTTACATAACTTCCAATAATGTCTTAGAAATACTGTGTTTCTACAAGCATAGAAAATATTTTTTGTTGTTAAATGGGATTTGTATACCTGAGGAATTTTTCTGGAGAAAAGTTCCAGTGTTACAAAACATTGTCTTTAGATAGCCTAAGGAAAAATCACATACACAGTACTTATTAAAATTATCTGTTCAACCATATAGATTTAATTTAAAGCAAATTATTTTTCTATTGCATTTATTTATATAAAGTAAGTCTTACTATTCTGGTGTTTGCTAATGTTGGCTAATGTTATTTGAAGCAATAAAATACAATAAAATTAGAAAAAATAATAGAGATGCTGGCTCAAATCTGTTGAACAGTTTCAGCCTATAGAACAAGAAAGATATCAGCATCAAAAGATTGCCACAGAATAAAACTTCCTTTTTCAATTTTGTGGTGAACACAGCTTTGTGTAATTGCTGAGAGGCATGTACATCCCAATACAGTATTGAAAAATATCAGTGGCAATACGTTGCTGATGCTGACATTTTCTTTGTTATTCAAATAGGCTAGCACGGCTCATACTTCCAAAGTAGATCATTCTTATTCTGAGGTGGAGCTGCACAACAGGATTTTGGTCATTATAAATACAATAGCCAGAATCCTACAAGTAATTTGACCTGGCATAAGTATAATTATATAAACTGACTGGCATGTGATCAGGAATGTGAGTGCAATTAGACTTACGTAGGCATAAATGCTCATTAGGATTCTGACTAACTTTACCTTACTGAAAACTGAAGAAGTACCGTAAATGCTTAGCTGAACAATCAGGGTTTTTATTCTTTGTAATATAGTGAAACAGTCAAATTACAGCTTTTTATGAATTACAAATTCTTAAATTGAAAGAGAAATTTTGTAGCTAAAATTTCAGAGGATTTCTGTTAAGTTTTTAAAAGTTTTGAGACAGTTTGAATGTATAAAAAAATACTGTGTTGGCTCAGGATTTAGCCATACATTAGGTAAACCCCTTGAAATTAATTTGGCTTGTTTTAGCTATATTTAATGGATTGCCTTTAAGTATGGCTAAATTTGGAATCAATTTTACATTCAGTTCTTTGGTCGCAATGCAGCATTTTAATAATACATTGCCTCATTTTAAGTATTAAATTCACTTGCCTGGCATTGTGGTTTTACAGAGTTCTACAGCATATGCCTTTAGAGCTATAGTTCCTAATCTTGGGTCACCAGATGTTCTTGAACCAAAGCTCCCAGAAGCCTTCACCACTAGGTATGCTGGCCAGGATTTCTGAAAGTTGTAGTCTAATAACATCTGCAGAGCCAAGATTGGGAACTTTTGCTTTAGAGAGATGGACTTGACAGTTGTGTTGTCTTTTCTATGTATTTGCCATGTTCCATTGTTTCACTTAATTTTGATTCAACAATTACAGTTCTGTTTGAGGTAGAGTCAGAACTCTAGATTTCCTGTTGTTAGTTTTTGTTCTTACTGACTTGGAAGAATACCATTGCTATAATTCATACTCATATTGTCTGCTGTTTTCTAGTAGCTGATTTTTGGCTTTCTAAGAAAAATCTGCTGCTTGACATACCCATCCATCATAAAATTTCCTGTCTTAAATTGTAACAGCTAGGGAAGTTTGATTATATCCATCCATATGATATTAAAATGCAGTTTAGTAACAAGCAATTTGTTAGTAACTTTCACTGTTTGATGCTTCTTTTTCACTTCCCAAAGTGTTACTGACAATTTCAGCCATCCTTGCTTTTATATGTGCGCTATTTTGTATTTTTTGTGACATGATCCTAACACCTTGTCAACTGCAAATTGTTGTTCTGAGAAAGATGGTTTGAGGAAGGATTTCATTCCAGTGAAGAGAAAGAGCATGTCAACATGCTAATTGTCTAATTTCTTTATAATTCCTTGACTCTTGTGTTTTCTATCGTATACTTAAAAGGAAAAAACTAGTGCCACATAGTCATCCAGGCAACACCTATTATTGGTGCTTAAAGACTTCGTGCTCTATCCTTTGGCCCTCAGTGTTTTCCTGATGATAAGAGATTCCACAGGAGCGGTGGGGTGGGGTGTTAGAAATGTTTTATTTTTTAAAAATAATCACTGTGGCTTAGGGCATCATCAGCTTTATGTGATGTAGCTTATGGAACAGGATTTCAGCCCCTTATGTCATAAGGTTTCATGACCATAGATGACTTCATCAGATGCATGAAGTGTGTTCAAATATATTTTTTAGTTTTGAATTGGCACAGTATTCTTTGGTTTTGGTCCGGCAAGTTAGATTAGCGAGATCATTTTCCTGTACCTTCAGAGGCATAGATATTTCAGTGGTTTGTCAGTCTACTTTAATTCAGCCAAGTTATTCAGGACCTTCTTTGAGGTTCCATTTCATCAGTCCCTTCATTCTATGCCATGCTGCCCACAGTCCTAGCCTCTTTATTTGTTGTCTGTAACTGCCCCAACGTTTGGGCACCTAGTGCTCTTCTGGGTTATGAAATGTAAGATGGACAGACTCTTGGTTGTACTGTACCAAAAATGTCCAAATGTCTGGTGGGCTCCCAGCCTGTTCTTTGTGGTATCCCCCTCACATTCTAGCTCACATTTCCTAGCATAGTCTTTCTCACTTGCTGTCTTGTTTGTCTAGGCAGACTTGTTGTCTCTTGCTACCAGACAGAGCTTTATTTCTTATGGAGTACCTTTTGTGGTTTTCTAGCTGGCACCCAATCCGTGACACAGCCCTGTCCTGTCTAAGACACCCCCAAACTACCTTATCTGAGTATGCAACTCCTAGTCTTTCACAGACTTCTCAGAATCATGAAGTCATGTTTTTAGTGGTATGTGTTACTCTTAGAATTTTCAACTTTAGACCTAATGGGTTAATCTTTTAATGGGTGTATTTATATAAGACAGCCCTTTAACAAATTTATGCAATCCATTCTCTTCTCATGGATATCATGTCGGTGTTGTAATCCTGAATTCCCTTAATTTGTTCTGAGTCCAGTGGTACAGCACATGCTTTGAGTGTAGAAAACTCCAAACTCCTTCTATCTCTAGTTTTGGTGCTCCATGGTATCTGGAAAGCTCTCCTCCAATAGCACATTTAAGATGACTTGAAAGATGTATTCCTATCATCTTTCTTGATTATCCAATTTCCACATCTCTGCACAGTAATTGGGATTTGTTTGTTTGTTCAAAATATTTTTACCCCGCCTTCTCCTTAAAAAGAACCCAAGGTGGTTTATTTCATTAAAAGACAACATTTGAAGCTAAAAACAGTAAGTGTACAAATACTAAAAAAGGATCAAATAAAGACCACACTAAAAGCAACACCAAAACACATTCAAAACAAGAAAGTACAACCATGCATTTAAAATCCCCACTCAGGCACCCAGTAACTGAGGGAAAGCTTCTGCAAGTAGTCTTTGCCTGATTTTCTTTTGACTACAGGAATAGCCTCTCTGCATTTTTCTCTAATAATATTTCTAGTTTTCAATCTGCAGCTCTTGTTTTAGCATCAGTTAAGCTTAATAAATTTAAATCTGTTCTTTACACCGTTCTTAAATTATTCAATGATGCTGTTTAACATTCCTTGGGAATATATTAGTATTTTATATTAATTTTGGTATTGTAATTGTTCTAAAGTTCTTATTCAGATACCTTTTTCTTTAAATGTGAATAGTTCATTATTTATGCCACAGTCTGCTCCTAGTCTTATTTTTTTCCAAGAGAATAGAATTTTTCCATCTTCCATTCCCAATTATATAGTCTCTTTGATTTCTGTATTGGCCATTTGATGAAGTTCGTGTGTACGTTCCTGTTGTCCACGTGTATAATCACCTATTTGGCTCAAGCATGTATTCTTAACAAATTCTTGGCTTCACAGAATTCCAACTTTTTTATTCTAGTCACTCAAGATCACATAGATGTGTGTGATTCTCTCTTTCCTGGACCCTCTGAGGGGTTCCCCCGTCTCCCACGGGACTCCAGGAACTCCCTCTGTTGGTTCTCCCAAATTCTCCATTCTAACATTTCCCTTCATTCTCTTTCCACTCTCTCTGTCTTTCCTCTCTCAACTTCCTCCTCCACTCCTTAGTCTCTCGTTCACCCCAGTATGATGGTTTGGGGTTTAGCTCATGCCTCCTCCGGGCATCAGCTTCCTCCTTGGGGACACGCAGTTTCTCTGTCTTCCCTGTCCATCGATCTTCTACCCAGATTCGTTCCCAGCCTACTGGTAACTCTCCTTCCAGCCTTTTTATATCCCCTAACCCCACTTCCACTATCTCCCACCTTTTTTCTCCTGCGCCCGCCAAGATAGTCCCGGGTTCCGTAATCATGAGTCTTTTAAAATCTCCCTCCAAATTCCCCAGGTCCTGTCCGGGAGGTCTCGTCTTCCGGGGTGGGGGAACTGGTGGGGTCTGACTCTCTTTCTCAGCGGTCGTCGGGAGGGATGGCACTCTCAAGAGAGGGGTCTCTCTCTCCTTCCTTCTTACACAACCCTACCTTGATTCATACTTCTCACATTCCATGTTCTTATTACAGTATGTGTCATGCAGTTCTGGACTTCTGTTTTGTCTCAGTGCACATTAGCAACCAGACATCCTTTCAGCTTTAAGCCAGTTGTTTCGTAAGCAAGCACAGTTATTTATTCTTATCCTGTGTTGTTTCCCAGTAGGTGATTGAGTCCTTCTGACTATGATTCTCATCTTCCAGCATTACCTCTTATTTTATTTTTCAAACTGTCTCATCATAGGTTTTGTGGTATAAATAAGTGGCTTACTATCACCTTCTTTTCTGCAGTATTAATAAGATAATTTTGATATCATTGCCATTATCGAAGAATAATTGTCTAGCGGTGTCACCTTCTGCTATTCCTGATGCCCAGTAGCTCTCCTTCAAGAATTTCTGTGCACCCATCACAATTGGAACTATTTATTCTGCCAATATAGCTGTTTCATCCAGAAGAGGATGAATGCATCTTACTCTACTGTCTTAGCTTTGACCATTCTGCCTTGTGTGATCTCCCTGGGCATTCAGACTCATAATAAAGGTTTGCTGCCTGATGGTGTTGCTCTCAGCTTCCCACACACTTAATCTCTGATACTGTGTTAGGGTGTGCATTTAAGAGGAGGAAGTACAATATAATTATTCTCCTAAATAACCAGGAAACACTCTCCTTTGATTGTTTCCTAATGCTTTTTAATTATTGTGTTGAAATACAACATCCAAGAGAATAAATACTCAGTGGTAGGAAAGCATCAGAGCAAGTTTTCTGATTATTTTGGAGGTTGCTATGAAGCACATGAGGAATATGAGACTCCCCAAATGTTTCTGGAGTACAACTCTCATTACCTGTTACCTTTTGGCAAGCTGGAAGGGGCTAATGATGTTGTAATCCAGTAACACAGAGAGAACAAGTTCTCTGCCTGTCAAACTGTGAATAAGTGCAACCAATCTCTCTGTATTCATAGTATTCCTATAATTCTTGATAGCTTCTTATCAACTCAGGGACATGTCCACATATTTTCCTCTACCAGTGCTTTTTAAAAAGAACTAGGCATCCTTTTGGTTTCAAGCTGTTTATCATTAAAACTGCAGATGAGAGCCAATGTTATATTGTGGTCAGAGCACTGAACCTTGACTCAGAAGACATGGATTTGCACCCTGATTCAAGCATGACTGTGTGACTTTGGGCAATCATTTATGCTGCTTTGAGCTCATTGGAGGAGAAGCTATATATAAATGTTAACAAGTCAGTAAAAAAACTAGAAAATTAGTAACTAGGTAGCTGAAAATTCCTGTCTTATGTTGTCTTTTTCTAAACTGCATGGCTGAAATCCTGTTTGTAGAACAAGATTAACAGAAGACACATGACATCATCATAATGGGGCAATTTTCAGAAACAAAACCATTCTTGCTTCTGTCCTGTGGCTGCCACAACTCCTGTGTAATCTCCTGCAACATGTGGAAGCAGTGGGAGCAGTAGAATGGGAAGAACTCTTTAATTACTGAAAGTTGCCACTAGTAGTAATGTTATCCTGGTGGTGGCAATTTTCAGTAATGAAAAACTTCTGTCTCTTGTCTCTGGTATGCCATGGATTCCAAATAAAGAAAGGGCTTACATAGGAGTTGTGGGACAGAAGTAGGAAATGTTTTATATTTAAAAATGAAAACCAACTGGTAATGTCATTAGCCTTCTGTAGGCATAGTTTTACAAACTGGATTTCAGTTTATATCTGATGCATATGCAATTGTGGCCAAGCTACAAGGCAGGCAACTGGCTTTTTAAAAAAACCCACTTTCTTCAGAAGGTGTGGCAGGTTCTTTTAAAAGGTAGATATGAAGTAGAATATGGAATGTTTACCAGTCACGCCTGCTGACAGCACCTACAGATTGCAGAACCCTTGAAGGGGTGGGTGGGAAGAACCCTCAACCCTAACTTGAGGGTTGCAGGAAAAGCTTTGTTAAAATGCAGAGGCTAGATGCCAATTCACAGATTACATAGCCACATGGTTGCAGTGACAGTAGTAAACAGTGTGTGAGCCAAGTTTGTGGAAAACTATAAGAAGTGGTCCCCTAAGGATTTAAGACATTTTTAGAGCATCAATTGGTGCAGTGGCAGAGGTCACATTGTAGTTACCCATATGAGAACAGATGTATGAAAATGGATAATTTGTAGCTGGAGAAACTCCATTCGATAATGTTTGAACTGGGACTGAAATGAATTTAAAACAGTTTCTCATGTTTCCACACAAATCCCTTTTCTGTGTAACTGTGGTATTCATTCCAAATAAGATGCCTACATGCTTAAAAAAAACTTTAGTGGAGATCTCTATCCATTTCTCTCTTTCAGTTTGTTAGTTCCCAGGAATATTTGCAATCTTCTATCTCTCACTTTTAAACAAAGTGGACACAACCTTGAATGAAGATTTGTTCAATAAGAGTTTTATTTCTGCCTGTGCTGCCTTGACTTAGAGTAAAAAAGGTTGAGGTACCTGGAAGGTCTCTTACTTTCCTTAATGAAAATTACAAGATGCAGACAAATGTACAATAAGTAGACAATGGTAAGAGAGTTACCAGTTAATTTTCTCTATTCCAACCTTCTTATAGTGTAGATTTTTCAGCTGTTAGTACATGAAATAAATCAAATAGCTGCCTGAGTTGAAAAGAGAGCAATATTTCTACACGTCTGAACGTACTGCATATTTAAACCTAACCTATGGCAGTATACTTTTTAAACTTTTGTTCATAGCTCTGCATGAAATCATAATTTTTCTACCCTACTGCCAATTTCCTGTGTGTTTAACAAGCCTGCTAGATCATAAGCTTTTGATCTGTTTTTAAAAACCTAAAGGCTGCTTAACTTGTTATTAAAGTTTCACCATCTTTAAAGTATTTTATAACTACTGCTGTCCTTTGATTTGTTTTCATTTTATTTCTATTATCTTGCAGCATCTTTTATCCAAATTCTTCTTTCTTATAAATCTTGTAAGTAGGAACTAGTAGCTTCTCTTTAATTGCAGTCATTTTTTCTTTTTTCCATAATCCCATTTTTTAATTTTTATCATTGTCATCCTTTAAAGCTTTTGCTCATCACATGGGAAAAATGAGTAACTGTGTGTTGCTTCTTTAAATGGGGAGGATTGTTGGCAAAAGCAAATTAATCTGCCTGAATCAGTCCCATCGTTTTCTGTACTCTAGTCTGTGATCATGTCATGAATTTACGGACTTTGCACTAACCATGTTTTTTTAAAGCTTACTTTATACAGAACTAGTGTTTTGATTTGTATGCTTTTTGCATGTAGTTTTTTCCCCTAATTAATAAAGTATTGCTGGATAGCTTATTCAGGATAAAAATGGCTCATGGGAAGACGCATAAAGATTTAGATTTAGTTGATTATACTGTTACAAATCTGTGATGAAATAAAACTTCATAATTGACATTGATTTTCTAAATTATCAATTTATCAAATTTATAATAAATATTCAGGACATGAGCAGAGCTTCTGTTTGTAAGATGGCAGCTGATTTAGGCTGCAGACCTGTGCACACTTGTTCAGAGGTATGTTTAACTTAATTTAGTGAGGCTTCTTAGCAAGCATGCTTAGGATAAGGCTGCAAAATTCCGTTGTGTACAGAATTCTCCTGATATTCTAGAAATCAGTTAATTCAGTTGCTTTAGTGCTGTGTATTCTCGAAGGCTTTCATAGCTTTACTACTGTTGGAATTAGGCTCTCTTCTTCATCATGGTGTCTATGTACAGACACATATGGGTTCTGCGCCTGTGCAGACCTCACTTTGGAAAGGTCCAGAACCTCAAAAATGAAAGTGCCTCTCTGTATATACTGTGCGTATGTGGCCCCACTTTCCTCAGTCCTTTTTTGCCCACTATTGCAGCAGCACGTGAAGAACTGTTCTGGAGCCTCCGCCTCACTGTCATTTCAATAAGTTTCCTTCCTTCCTCCCTCCCTCCCTCCCTCCCTCAACAAAAGGGAGGGTGGAGCCTCCGCCTCACTGTCATTTCAATATGTTTTCGGCCTTTCCTCCTTCCTTCCTTCCTTTACCTAAACAAAAGGGAGGAGGAGGAGGGGAGAGAGATAGTTATTTAGGTAAAGCTAGAGGGGACCCTCCCAACCATGGCTCTTCTGCTCCCTTTTCCCTGACAATTTATGGCTGCTTTGATGAAAAAGTGTGCCACTTGTGGCGAGAAAGTCCTAAACTCAGAAGAACACAACATTTGTCTTTTTTTTGCCTGGGAGAAATCCACTTATTTCAGCATTTCAGAATCTGCAAAAGTTTCACGGCTCTTACTTAAGAATCTGCGGTCTTGACTCCTATTCTTCCTCTGGGGACAATCCCTTCAAGCTGTGGATGCCCTACTAAGCTGAATCCCAATCCACAGATGAACCAGACAACACTACTGGAAAAACCCCTGGAACCCAAGCCTGCTCCCTCGTATTCCTTGAAAACATCTTTGAAGTTGATGAAGAAATAAGAGCATGGTGCTCAAAAACGTCAGGCAGCCTTCAATATCAAGGCAACCAAAACAAAGAAAAAACGACAACTCACAGATGCTGGTGTTGTTGTGGTGACCTCAGATCCCCAGCTACCAATCCGAGAGCTGACCTCTCTTCCTATTGCCAACACTCAGTACACCATCTCAGTTTCAGAGGATGAGTGCTTGAGCCCCTTTGCACAGAGTGATGCCATCTCAGAAAGACCACCTTCTCCTCTGCGAGAACAATACCTCCACCATCAGAAGGAGGGCAAACATAGAGATTGCGATCCCTCTTCCTTACCCAGTGGTCTTTGCAACCAAGACAATGTTACAGGGAGACTATAAGACCCACTTCGAGATTGGTCTCAAGATCTCCACCATATTGCTACCAACCACACTACTTGCAGTCTCCCTCAGCGGGCTCCCAATACAGTATCATGAGGACCCCTTATTACGCTTCTTTCTTTTGCTCCCCTTGCTTCATGTACATGGGATGGCCATCCCAATCATACTGAAGTTGATCTCGATCCTGTGACCATAGCAGGTCCCGCTCATGTACCTGCACCCCCCCTCGATCTTGGGAGTCCTACACTAACAATCTGTGGGAATACTCCCCCCAATGACATCAGTACCTCCATGACTCCCATTTCCATTAGGACTCTCAAAATCAATCTCAGTCTCCACACTGATTCACCACTATGTGTCTCCTATGTGAACAACACCAGCAACCAGGATCACCCCAGTCATCATCTCAGGCTTTGACCCTTTGACCGGTGTCATCCCCAGCTCTTTTATACCCTCCTGATACCGATGTCTCACTTACCTCACAGTTGGGTAAAGGAGGGTGGGGTAGAGGCAGAGAGACACTTTCCTTTTTGATGCTCTGGAACTTTCTGAAGTAAGGTCTAAGCAAGTGCAGAATCCCTATGTGTGGTATATGGGTCACCACTTGATGAACCATAATTATGTAAGTAAGCAAATCTTTTTTGTGACTGTCCTATATTATAATCTTAAACTTTTTACCTTTTCTGGAAACATCAGAATGTTCTCCTTTTTGGAAATCAGGAAAAACTTTAGGGAAATGGCATTTTTATTGCCAAACTTACTGATTGACTGCTGGAAAGAATGAAATGATGCATGTTTTTACAAGTCATTGATGACAGGACAAGCTTGTAGGAAAGTTGGCTGCTGCTAAAGAAAATACAGGCAGAGAAAGCAAACAGCCAATCCATTTAACCTCAGGATATATTTAATGAATTAATCAAATCCTGTCTGCAATTTATGGTACCAGAGTAATTAACGCAGGATAAACCTCCACATATACATTGGAAGTTCCATCCTTGCTATCCACTTCCGAGCCCCCACTCCCACCGCCATCCTATGTGCCTCATAAAAACTTGTGCAGATGGTAGGTCTATGAGGTGATCTCTAGTGGAAATTATGTGCTTTAGGTGAAAAGACTAGGTATGTTTGGAAGGCTTGGGCTTTAGTCTGTGGCTCTGTGGATCCTTGCTTATTTTCCTGCAAAGTACTTCCTAACCCCTAAAGTGAACACCCCCCTTCATTTTTTTCAAAGCAGTGCTAGAGAAAAAGTTCAGAAGCCAGCTCACAGCAAATTTAAATCACGCAGTATAATTCAGTGCTTACCCCAAACACATTTTTCATTGTAATCTTACATTTGCCTCTTTCGTTAGGTTGCACAATTGTACCAACTCTATGTAATATACAAACCATGTGTCAGCACCACAGGCGTACAGGTAGTTTCATGACAGTGGCAAAAGATGAAGGGTGACCATTAGAGAATTAAGTGGGATTTGTGTAATAGAAAAGACCAGAACAGGTTTTGAGGTGGAGTTAGTTGGAAAAATAGAAGGCACAGATGTGAAAGAAGTAATAGGGGTATTTACTAAGAGGCTGCTTGATGCACATTGCTGGAAATCTGAATGAAGCAGAAGCTTGTGCACTTGGCCAGCATGGATTATGCAACATTAAATGCTGAGGGAGGAGATTATACATTTGTGTGAGACTGAAGGGATTCAGTTTCTCTTTTCTTGTAGAACTAGACATAAATGCTTTATAAACAGAGGCAGCAATTCAAATGTAATGAACTAACGGCTTTTACGATGACTAAATTTGACTTGATCTTTGTGTCCAGGATCCCATGAGCCTATCCAATATATTGACAAATGTAATGAAACTCTGTGCTTCTCGTTTTTGTTTCTAGCTATAGCAACACAAGCTAGTGTGGAGTTTCGCCGGAAGGGGTCACAAATGTCAGCAGACACAATGGCATCCAATCTTATGTTTGATGCAGGCGAATTTTCAGACAACTATGAATCAGGCAGAGCAGAGGCATGTGGAACACTTTGTAGAATATTTTGTAGCAAGAAGACTGGAGAGGATATACTACCAGCCTATTTATCCCGGTACTGACTTAATTTTTAAATTAAGATGTTGTCTGGTTTAGAGTATATGAATAAGAATGAATTATTTTAGGTTTGACAAGTAAAGTGCTCTATAACATCTAAGCATTAGTTAAACATATAAAAGAGCTTGTTTAATGTTCTCCGGTTTTATCAAGTGAAAAATAATATAGCATAGAATTTCCCCAAGAATGTACTATCTCTCTCTTACAGTGCAAAATTTTGTTATTTATGAGTTTAGGGAAGAACAGTGAGGCAAATAAAAAGAGCTCAGTCAATATATTTAAATGGCTGTGTTAGGCAAGGGAAGAGTGTGATATAATATAGCTCCTCTCATTTTGCTTGCCTGCATGAATACAGGAGCCCATGACTTTTATTCCTCCCCCCCCCCTTATGTATAGTTTGATGTCATTTACTGGAGAGAGTGAAAGATGACCATGCATTTGATAGTCTTTACTTAAAATGCATGAAAATGTTACTCAGCACTACAGGTGATAGGGAGCGAAGAACATAAGAACTGAGCAGCCCTTTAATACCTTGTAATATGTAGCAATATGTGACACCATAGTTTACAGTATCACTTGGTCACCAGTTGGCCTCTGATAAAATATGTTTATGATCATATCAGTGCTGACTCACTATGCTAAATAATATGGGGAGAGAAGAAAGACACTGTTTTGAAGGCCATTTTGTACAGTTCTTCCATTCTTTTCAGTTGTTTTCCCTGTTACTGCTTTATAGTGATCATATCAATTAGCATGTTCAAAAAAGCATAGATTTTTAAAAACATGACAATTCATTGACTCTGGAAGTTTCTCACAGGGTTGCAGCCTGCATTGTATTGTTGATTGCCCCTTCTACCATGCAGTCTAAGTGGAACACATTTGTAATCTACCCCTGAGCACTAATTGACTTTTTCTTTTTCTTTTTTTCTTTTTGCTGAATCTAGCTAATATAAAATATGTGCAAGATTGAAAATGATCCTGCTATACAATTTGTTGCTTTTTAATAACATAAAGGATATGGAAGATATGGAGATGGGCAACCTTGCTAGATTTGAGGGGCAAAATTTAGGTCCAGAGCCCTGCTGCATGCTTCACCAGGCTCAGAAATGGTCATTTTCAGCAATTTAATATATTGTTAAAGGAAGTGCACAGATGTTTGGGTTTTTTTTTTTTAAGGATACTGGGCCTTATGACACTGCCACGATCCCCAGGAGAAAAAGTAGGGCTTTTTTTTAAATCAATGATAATGGCATAATATTTTTAAAAATATTTAATGGAACCTCTCAGGTAGTCTTGGATGCCACAAAAATGCCCCTGGAGAATTGAATGCAGCCCATGGGTTATGCTTCCCCCACCTCTATTCTAAGTGTTCACAGTGTCCATATAAAAATGTTGTATTCCCTTTTGCCTGTAAGCCTATCCCATAAGAAAATGGATTGCAAATGTTTCTTTCTGATAACTCATTAAATCTATCTTTTTCTGCCAGATTTTACATGCTTTTAATTCAGGGTTTGCAGATAGCAGATTCTGTTTGCCACCCAGTTCTGGCAAGTATTATTCTAAACTCCCCAGCGTTGTTCTGCTGTGACCTGAAAGGGATTGATGTCTTAGTTCCTTACTTCATTTCAGCACTTGAAACTATTTTACCTGACAGGTATGTGCATGTGCTCATTTTACTTGTTTGCTTCCGAATGTTTTTGGTAAGCAGTTTTCTTTTGTACCCTTTAGACTGCAAATTCAGAAATGTAGCTTAGGGACGTGGTGGCGCTGTGGGCTAAACCACAGAAGCCTGTGCTGCAGGGTCAGAAGACCAAGCAGTCGTAAGATCGAATCCACGCGACGGAGTGAGCGCCCGTCGCCTGTCCCAGCTCCCGCCAACCTAGCGGTTCGAAAGCATGCAAATGCGAGTAGATAAATAGGGACCACTTCGGTGGGAAGGTAAACAGTGTGTCTAAATCACACTGGCCATGTGACCACGGAAAGATTGTCTTCGGACAAACGCTGGCTTTATGGATTGAAGAGCGGGATGAGCGCCGCCCCCTAAAGTCGGACACGACTGGACAAAAATTGTCAAGGGGAACCTTTACCTTTACTAGCTTAGAATGAGAACTTTTTTTGGAGAAGACAAGTGCTTTGGAGAGAATGTTAGGAAATGATTGTCAATACATATGTGAATACTTGTCAGAAATACAGAACAATTTGTGCTGTGTAAATCTGTTTTGTTATGTCCCACTAAAAGTAATGGGTAAGAGAAATTAGCAGTGCCAAAGGGAACAAGGAATATTTTGCTACTTAAAAAAAAACTTATTACTGATGAGAGTTGGTGGTGGTTTGCTACAGAACAAAGGTGAATGAACTTGTTCAGTCAGTACAAGCAATACAAGAGAAACGTAATAAGGAGGCCTGAATATAGTTTGTAGATTATACTTACACATGACTACAACCTAATAATTTTCAAATTATTATGTGATGGATGCTATACAGTTGCCAGATTTATATAATTATACTTGTTTGAAACTCAGGATTCTCCTTTGAATTTTTCTGTTAAAAAGAGGAAGCATGTATATCTAGACATGAAATTATTTTCTTCTAATATTGCTTAACTTTATTTGCTGTCATTTTCTGTCCTTTGAGCACACAATAAGCATTGAATGTTATTGAGTCTGGTTGTATTGGGAGTCAGACTGGCAGTAAACTGCACAAGTGTTATAAGAGATCACATATAACCCTCTAATACAATAATAACCGCAAGGCTCTGAAATGTGGTGAGACCTTTATTTTTGGGTTATAAAGATTGAAAATATCGTAATCTACATTAAAGTAGAATAAAGTATTCAAGTGCTTTTGACTTTCAAAGGTGCACTGACCTTTTATAACAGTTTCAGATAGTACTACAGTATAATAACAAACATTGATGGAGATTGAGACTTATTTCCATGTATCTAGGCTAGCAGAATTTTTTTAAAATAAAGCTTTAAATAGAATTGGTTAATTACAACAACAGCAACAAAGATTTAAATCTCATTTTTATTTTCAGGGAACTCTCAAAATTCAAAACATATGTGAATCCCACAGAACTAAGAAGAGCCTCTATCAATATTTTACTGTCTTTGTTGCCTCTTCCCCATCATTTTGGAACAATAAAATCAGAGGTAACCAATGGTGGAGTTTCTTTGTTGTGTATTTTACAGTTTGAATGTAAATCTGACAGTAGTTCTGTTTTCAAATTAGCAATTCAGTAAAAGGGATTTCCCTCTTATTGTGTTGCTATTATATAGGGAAGAAGTAAATTTACAAAACAAATATTGATTAGTATTTCTAGTAAGAAGATTTTTAGCCAATTACAGTGGGGTCTTGACTTAAGAACGGCTTGAGTTAAGAACATTTTGACTTAAGAACCACTCTCATAGGAAAATATTGACTTGACTTACATACTTAGATTTGAGTTAAGAACTGTACATACTTACGTGGGAGGCAGGGAAAGTGCAAAATTGGAACTTTCAGTTAACTGTTGACCAGTGAAAAGGGTGCCTGTCTGCTTCCTCACTCCTCCCAGCGTTTAGAGAGTGGATTGGGAGACAGTCTTCGGACTGCCTGGTACTGTACTGCCTGGACTGTATTTTCCCTGCCTTCCCTGAACCTTTCTTGACCTAAGAAAAAAAAGAAACAAAATATCCCCCTCTAGTGGTCGAAGGCAGAATAGCAGCTTCCCATTAGTTTGTATGGACGGAGAAGAGCAGATACGGATCAAATGGTTTTCAATGCATTCGTATGGGAAATGCAGATTTGACCTGAGAACTTTTTGACTTGAGAACCGCCTTCCAATACAGATTAAGTTCTCAAGTCAAGACCCCACTGTACAAAATCATACACTAAGATCTTTGTGCTAGCAGATTCTTTTATTCAGATGTCTGGAACTAGAAATAGCAAATGCAATGTGACACTGGTTTAATAAGTGCGACTCTTTACACCTGAAATACAAATATATACAGGGCATCAATTAAGTTTAATTTATTTTACTTTGAACAAGGAAACTTATATTTGATTTTAAACATTTATTTTCATCAAATTAGTTTAGGAATCCATTTGAGAGTATTATTTTACTAGGCTTCCCTTCCTGGAGGATTATGATAGGATATTGGAAAAACAAGAAAATCGATATAAAACTATATCATATGCCTGCTACATTTGTAGAAGGGCCCTATATAGTAGCACTTCTAGTCTCTAGTTCATCTCTGCTGTCATAGACAATAAAAGTGATTTATTTTTCAGGTTGTTCTGGAAGGAAAATTCAGCAATGATGACAGTTCATCCTATGATAAACCAGTAACCTTCCTTTCTTTGAAGCTGAGGCTGGTGAACATATTAATAGGAGCACTACAGACAGAAACGGACCCCAACAACACTCAGATGATACTAGGTTGCTTTTTCTACTTGATTTGTGCAATGAGCTTTTGAATGTGTGCCTGCCCTGGGTGTTTAGGGTTCATAGTAGCCTTTGAACAGTATCCTGGCACTGAGAAAGTCGGATTCCCTGTGGCTAGAAAGGCCACAGAGATAGCCAGAGGTGGAGGTTACAGGGCAGACAAAGTTAAAACCTCCAGTGTTGCAGATCCTGCTTCAGGCCAGTGACTTTGGTAATGCGGGGAATTTGTGTCTTGTCTGTAAGACTTAGTACCAGTCGCAAAGCATGTCTAGTGACTTACCCTTTACTAACATAGACTGTGCCTTAAAGAAACTAAAAGTAGAAAACATTTTCTTTCAACTACAGTGGTGCCTCGCTTAACAAGTGTTTCGTTTAACGATGAATTTGCTTAGTGATGACTTTTTCGGAGTGTTTTTGCGCTCCATTTAACGATGGTCCCTATGGGCGATTTTTGCTTAGCGATGTTGAGACCATGCTTTGCATAACGATTAAATTTTTTGGTCCCCTGTTTCGCTTAACGATGGTTTAAACAGCCTCATATTTGCTGTTTTTTAAATGTTATAAAGTTAAAATTTACTGTTTAAAATGTTTGAAATCATAAAGTGCACTTAATAAACCCTTTGTTAACCAAATTTGACTTTGTTCTGACTCTTTTTTAATTTGTTGAATTTTCCCCCCACTGAGATGCATTGAATAGGTTTCATTGCATTTCAATTGGGGAACTGCGTTTCGCTTAGCGATGTTTCCTATGGCGATTTTCGCTTAAGGACGGCAATTCGTTCCTATTGGAACAGATTATCCGGTTTTCAATGCATTTCAATGGGAAACCCCATTTCGCTTAGCGATGTTTTCATTTAGCGATGAATTTTTTGGAACCAATTAAAATCGTTAAGTGAGGCACCACTGTATTTACTTCTGCATTGAGTGAGTCCTGTGTGTGCCTGGAGTGGACAGCAAGGGAAAGCATATGAGTTTATCATCTAGTTGTATGAGTTTTATAATGGCAACCAGGGATTGCCTGTGGTGTGAGTAGCGGGTATACTGTCCTTCAGTAATGGAGAGGCACCACGTTCCTTAGACCACAGACTGCCAGGAGAGATAGAGGAAAGGTGCCATCTGTAGTGTACTGCCTTTGATCTGTGATACTATAGAGGCATCATTGTGGATGACATTGTGTATTGTGATTACACTGTATATAGCATATGCAATTGCAGTAGCCATCTCTGCCTTGAGCTGTGTAGGTGGAAGACCTGGCCTGCCTCTTTTCCCAACCATTGATAGGTGATAATGAGTAAATGATGAGGGCTTGTTTTGTTTTTATTTCCCCCCACACACACTTCATACACTAACAGTAATGAACTGGTCACAATCTCAGAAGAGTAATATTTAAGCTTCATTGATATTTTGGCTTCCAATCTGATAAAGAAGATATTTTTCTGATGGTATTCCCAGAGGGTAATTTGCTACGTCTGAGTCATGTTTGTTCTGATATTACGTAATAATTTAACATTGGAGAGAAACATATATGTGTTGTATCCAACTATATCATATATACAGCAATATATGATTAATAGCATATTGCTCTTCTTTCTTTCCTGTGTATCTCACTTCCTACATTTCATATCATTTTTTATTTAAAGTGAGGTTATCCTCTTCCACTTCTTTATTCAAGCTTCAAACTTCTCCCTACAATAATTTAACAAAAGCATCACAGCAGTGATTGCTGCTAATTGGCATAATAAAAGCCCTTTGTGAAAGAAAGAAACATTAAAAAGATATGGAGTGAGAAGAACTGTGCATTTTTGGCAGCATTTTTTTCTTTATATCTTGTAGAGCAACTTCAGAAATATCCTAATTCTGAGCTCAGGGAACAATTTGTGTTATTGCACCATTACTCAAATACAGGGCTAGTATGCTAGCAGACAAAATATTCCAATATCATAAAACCTTAGCTGAGCATCCTGTTCTAAGGCTTCTCTATTTTCTCTTTTGTATTTTCTGCACTGCTTTTCAGGCATCCCCCAATCAATTTTAGTTGGCACTTAACAAAAGCTGCCTTTTGCTTTTCATGTTTAATGCTTCTATAAGAAACATTTCTCGGTTGAATTCAGAGCATAAACACCGCATGTGCGTTTGGTATTATGTATGTTAATAAGAAGCTTAGGACTAATCCCGGTGTAGCCAAAGACAACACTATCCACATACTGTACCAGAGGTTGGAGATATCACTGGGCTTAGGAGAACCTCAGGGTTAGGAGAATGCTGGCCAACTTTTGCAAAAGCAAAATAATACTGGGAGAATAGGGATGGAATGAATCTTAGATGAAGGCATACATTTTTTAGCTTGAATCCCAAACAGGAGTATTCTGCTGCAATATTTTGTTGCATGCGCCCTTGTGTTATTAGTGTCTTCTTCAGTCTACCATACAAAAAGGTTTTCATTTAGCACTTAAAATGCCTCATCTTTTTGAATATGCATTCTGTGCTTACAAAGCAGTCAGTTGTTTTTCATACAAGCTGAATATGCCTCTGCTGTCCTGTGAAGATGCCGGCCACAGAGACTGGCAAAACGTTAGGAAGAACAACCTTCAGAACACAGCCAAAGAGCCTGAAAACCCCACAACAACCCACAACAACCAGTTACTATTTGCCCTATAATCTTCAACTTCTAAAGATGAGGGGTCATAGAGATGTAAAAGAAATTTGGAATCCCTTCTTGTCAGCTGAACTATATTTTGAGCAAATGGAAAGAAGGTCATGTTGAAATCTAGTGCAACTTAATTGAAAGTGAATGAGCAGAGAATTGTAGCATTAAGAGAAACTAACTGTGGTTCTACATGTTGAGAACACCTGCATTCTTTCTGACCCATTATTGAATAGTTAGGGTGATGAGAAACCTACAGCAAGATGTGTGGTACTATGTGTAGTTCTTAGAAATGGCATAATGATGGAGGGCAGTTACAAACGAAAAACACCAATTTTAGACAGATTTTCATGTGGCTTCCCAGTGGAGCTGGAGTCTTCAAACTCAGTGAATCTGGCAGAAATTTCCAAACTTTGGGCATGTAGCCCTTCAGTTGCAGGAGAGGGTGGAGGTGATTTGATGGATTTTCACAGAAATAAAGATGGATGTCCATCCAAAAATATGTTTACAATAATAATCTATGAGACTGTGAATTTTTTAAAAATTGGAGTTGTTCTTTGAAAAATCTGAATGAAAAATGGCAATATAATTAGCAACAAAAATAAAGGCCTTTCAATATGTTTATAGTGGTATTCAAATTCTATATAAATGTTTTAATGTACACATTTGACTTTTTTATTGTGTAGGTGCTATGTTGAACATTGTACAAGATTCAGCACTCCTAGAAGCCATTGGTTGCCAGTTGGAGACGGTAAGATGCTTCCCTTTATTTTGAAGAAGACTGCCAGAAACTTTGTTTAATTGCAGCAAGCAATATCACAACTGGAATACAAAGAATGCCTGCCTTAGGTATGTGAGAATAATCATTATAGCATTCATCCACTCATAGTAATCTGTTTTCAAACTTAACAGAATGGTGAGAATGCTGTACCAAAAAGCCACAGTCGTACTAACAGTGGCATCAGTACAGCAAGTGGAGGAAGTACTGAACCCACAACTCCTGACAGTGAGAGACCAGCTCAGGCTCTTCTAAGGGATTATGGTAAGCAGTTGGATGAATCAAATATTTATAAACATGCTCCAAATTACAAATAACTTTTTTTTAAAATTAGCTTTCAAACTGTGCTTTTTTTTAAATTTAAAAAGAGAAAGAGGTAAATAGCTTTGTTTTATTATGAACTATTTAACTCATCATCAATATGATGGTGTTGCTTTCTTGAGCAGCCTGGTGAAGACTTAATAGTGATCAGGCAGATGGAGTTTGAGAGAGGGAAAGCATTGGTGGATGTAAGCTGAAAGATCAGCATGTCCACAGGTACCACTATTAAGAGTTTACTGGCTATGTATCCACAGGGGTGGGGGAAGAGGCATGGCGGGAATGTCACTAAGCCTATTGGGAAGCAAGGAGGGAGTTATCTATAAAGGGTCAAAAAGGAAATAGATGAAACGTAATGCTTCTTTTCATAAGACAGAAGTCTTATGAAAGGAAGACTGGAGGTGGGAAGAAGACAGAAAAGAAACAATCATAGAATCATAGAATAGAAGCTAATTTTGAAGGAACTTGAGGGAATCTCAAGAGTGAAGGTAACCACTTGCAACCTTTGGAGCATAGGCATTTCTATTTTACTCTTCACCCCATCAACAGTTTTTCTGTGGCAAACAGCACTTTTTTTCTATTTGCCACATTGAGACTTCCTACGGAATGCTCCTGTAATTGATATGAGGGAACAATTCTCAATAAAGGATGTACAAATGGGTTAGTAAGGAGGTGAGAGAAACACTAGTCATGGTTGGTTGGTGTTTTCTAGTGAGGAAGATATAATTTCATATAAAATTTTTGTCCCATGTGTGTGTGAATTTCATGTGCATTTTATGTCTGCATTTTAGGAAGTCTAATTACAGGTGTAACTAAATCTTACACAGGTTCTGTAGATATTTTAAGAAATCCAAGATTTTTACAAATGTTTGTCATTATGCCAGCAACTAATTGATACAAATCTAATTTTCTTGAGTCTGTGTTTTATGCGTGTTACAAATGCATTTAAAAAGCAATGTCCTGCTCCATCATTTGAATAGAATTTAATCAGTAGTTGGGAATTAGCAAAGTAGTATGTACTGGTTTCATTGACAGTGGTCTTACATGTTTTCTGTTGCAATAGAATTTAACCTGGAATGTCCTTCTGATTTGAAATGTTTTGTGCGCCGTACTTACCCATTTTGTATTAAGAACATATTGCTTTATAGTGTGTTATATATGTTTCTGAGGTTTGTAGTGACTGTTCTCTCAGTCTTTTGAACCAAATAATCAGAGCTAAGTAAAATATGTATTAAAAGCCATTTAATTGGACAAATTCTGAATAATTACATTTCCTATAATAACTTTATATTCAGAATTTTAAATAAGTGAACAGGCACCCTGCCATTGTCTAGAACAGAAATGAAATCTCTCCCATAATGTCTTTTCTTGGACTTGAAATCCAGATCATTTGGAAAGCCAAGGTTCCTCTGCTCCTGGAGTACACTGGAAATACCCTACCATTTACACTACTTTGTTAAAACATCACCTGAGTGTACCAGATTCCCTAAGAACAGCTAGCTGCCCCCTTTCATCTGCACATTTGAACTTTTCATCCTTAAAAACATACGTGTTTTTTTTTTTTGATGGAGGGATAGACTGGTCAATTACAATGTGAAAATTCTGTTAAAAGCATCAGGAAATTCCTTGCCATTGTCACTCCTAAGGATAAAATTTAGGTGTTCCTCATCCTTATGTACAAGTACAAGGCAAGCATGGAATTACATCCTGCCCTAGCTCCCAGAGAGGAAAAGCTAGTGTATCTAATAATATTACAGTTTTGTGTTCATGCAGACTGTGAATTATGTTACAGTTTATTATGAATAGTTGAGTGAAGAGTCAAGTTAACTATTTTTGCTATAAATATTAATGTAAAAATTTCAAGTGTTAAATTTGAGGAAAGAATCTTGTGGAACCTTAAAAACTAACTGTTTTGTTTGTTATCAAACTTTTGCAGGCTATAACCTACTTCTTTAGATGCAAGGAGTACAGCCTCAAAAGATAGACATTTGTAGAAACATATGAAGGAAGGGAATGTGAATTGTTAAGGAAATGCAAAAGATCTAGTACTGTAATAATTTATTAGTGGTTATAAAGGGTTGATAACTGTGGGTGATGGCTACCTGTCAAGTAAAAACATATGCCAGATAAAACCTGTTAGTCTTTAAAGTATCACAAGGCTTTTGCTGTAACAGGCTTCAGAATAATATGGGCTAGTCTCTGGAAATTTTTGCACTGAAAGTTGGTAAACAAGTGCTTCATTTATTATTACGTTCATAAAAGAAACCACCCTCAGTGGGGAGTCATTTAAAGATTGGTTATAGTCAAGTATGGCATTTGCTGATCCTTACTGAAGGTCCTTCCAAAGAATAACAAAGGTTTTACACTTGCTTAACTGGCAAAACCTGCTAGATTAGCAGAGGATAAACAATGTCTGGGAAATGACAGGTGTACAACTCATGTAAAAATAGTCAGCCTGAGGCATGGAAAAGTTTTGTATTCCCAACATTTGTGGGAACGTAAGTATGAGTAAACTGAAAACAGGCTGGTTGTTGTGGGTTTTTTGGGCTCTTTGGCCGTGTTCTGAAGGTTGTTCTTCCTAACATTTTGCCAGTCTCTGTGGCCGGCATCTTCAGAGGACAGGAGTAGCAGGAGTGCTACTTCTGTCCTCTGAAGATGCCGGCCAAAACAGGTTCTTCTAATTGAAAATATTAAATAACCTTAAATAGTGTTGCCCTAGGATAGGGATTTTTTTAAGGATTCATACCTTAATTGTCCACCCTTCAGAGATCAAAAGTTTACAGTTGTAACTAAACACAACTGAAATTTTAAAATCATGTTTTTATATTCTGCACTTAGATATTATTAGCTACCTAATACCATGTTGTAGTACTGATTTATTCATAACACTTTATCACATTATTTAGCTAAATAGAGAGAACTTCTAGAAAGACTTAAATCTTCAGCCTCACAATCTAAGACATACTGTAGTTTAAAAAAAGATTAAGATGATAGCAATTAAGAAAATTTCAAAATATTTCCTTACCAGGTTCAAGAAAACTTCTTCAGTCAGCACATACATTCTTTAGAAGACATTCAGGCTGGTGTCTTGTGAATTAGAAATGGAAAATGTGGAAGTGATTAGCACAGCTATTTCACAAGGTGTCTGTCATGCAACCAACACCTGGCCATGCCTGCTTCTGCATCTTCCATTCTACTTGGAGTAATTCAATAATTAGAGTCTCAATACGTTATTTTGCACATATGAATTGTTTTATGTTTGCTTTCCAAACAGATATGGGCCTTGTTTTCTGTGTGCACTGTGGCTGCTTTAGCGTCTGCCTGATTGTCTGCTTTGCTGATTGTTACTAATGCTTAGTTGTTTTCCCTCCCTGTGGTGTTTGGTATTGGGGTTTATATCCTAGCTCTTCATACAGATACAGCAGCCGGACTCCTGATTCGCAGCATTCATTTGGTGACACAAAGACTTAATGCGCAGTGGAGACAGGAAATGAGCATCTCATTAGCTGCTTTGGAGCTTCTTTCTGGTTTGGCAAAGGTGAGTATCAGTAACAGACTGTGAGATTTGGGCTGTATTTCTGTTTCTTAGCTATTCTTCACTACTGATAGTTGTGGAGTTTTCTGTCCTCTCTAGTCAGGGAACATCTGGCAGAGCTGGCAAAATAATTTTTTTTCCATGCTGAGAATCTGTCTCTCCTGTGAAGTGTAATATTTTCCCTTCTCGTAAATAAAATTATTATTGTTATTATGGTTAAACAATTCAAATAACTTAGCATATTGACTTAATTTATTTTATTTATTTATTTATTAAATTTATACCCCGCCCCTCTAGACCACGTCTACTCGGGGCGGCTTACTTAAAATAAATAGAGAAAAGACAGGAGAGTTTTTCAGCCCAGTTGGGTAAGTAGATATGTAGAAAACAACGAAAATCTAGAATTTTTTTCTCTTTACTTTCCCATTATGTATCACCAGTTAAGTTTTTATGTTGCTTTGTTTGTAACTGTTGTGGCCTCCACAGAGCCTTACTTTATATATATATATATATATTTTTAAGCTGTAAAATTGGGCAACAACAAAAAAGGAGGGGGGCGCAGGGTGACTTGCTTAAAGAGGCTTCTAGCTGAACATCTGTTTGTGCCACTGTCTTCAGGTGAAGGTTGCTGTTGATTCTTCTGACAGGAAGAGAGCAATTAGTTCTGTGTGCAGTTACATTGTGTACCAGTGTAGTCGTCCAGCCCCTCTCCATTCCAGAGATCTTCATTCCATGATAGTAGCAGCATTTCAGTGTCTCTGTGTTTGGCTCACTGAACATCCAGATATGCTTGATGAAAAGGTGAGTGGAACTTAATGATATTCTAGTCACTAGAAATAACATTACGTTTCCATGAAATGTTAAAAAAACTGTTGTGCACCCTCATGTTTTGCAAGGTCACGCATGAAACCTGCATGGCAGGAAAATCAAACTCTTATTGGAGGACCAAAGTTCACCACCCTGCAGTTGCTCTAGGAGCTATCCTTCTAACTGTTCACTTGAAAAATAACAAATTGACAGCAAACTATCAACTCTGTCTTGGACGGCAAAGTGGCGCCAAGGGGATAGAACTTGTTGCTGGAACTTTTGCAACTTAACCATTGCTGCATGCTTTATGAACAAACTGATCACCAGAAGTGTGATGTACATTCAAGTATTTGTGAGCCACACACATACAGACACCTCACTGTGCTCTAGAAGCGTTAGACATTAAGCATCCTTACCCATTACCCAAAAATATATCCATCAAAATTTATCTATGCTTGTTTCCATGGTGCAGCAGCTACTAGTGAGTTGGTCCTTTTAACCCTGAGGAGATCTGCAGCTTTCTGAAAGAAATTCAGTAAAGTGTGATAGGGATCATGTGCACCATATTGCTACCCCCATGATATTCCTGCTGTGCACTATGAAATCTTCTGTCTGCTTTTGTATGAGGGTTAGGGAAAAAGTATCTTGAATAAATAGACTTTCTAATCTGCTGGTCTGTTTTCAGGTTAGATTTCAGACTCATGTTTTATTTTTTTAGTGCCTCTGGGTTGTACATGAAGTCAGTGAAGCAGGAAACTGAATGTTTAATAATATAAGGGCTCTACGCTGATAAGCTAGAAGTGGGTTGATTATGACATTTGCTGTGGGAAGATGGACAAAATGTCATATTTCATAGAAGCTGTGTAGACTCATGGGAACAGAACTAGTCAAGTATACACAAAACAGATTGCACATAGTACAACGCTCTTCCAACGACTTTAATATTGCCATTTTCTTTGATAAACATTTCCTGGTGAATTTATATACAGTATGAGGTGATGAGTCTGCTAGATATCTAAATGGTGTGGTTTCTACCCTCCTCTTAGGATTGTTTAAAAGAAGTATTGGAGATTGTGGAATTGGGCATCTCAGGAAGTAAATCTAGAAATAGTGATCAAGAAGTCAAATACAAAGGAGATAAGGAGCCAAATCCTGCTTCCATGAGGGTGAAGGATGCAGCGGAAGCAACCCTCACGTGGTATGGAAAGTTATTTAAAAGAATTCCATTGGCTGACAGTGTGAAAATCTTAGAAAAATGCTTAGTTTAGAACAGTGGTAGACAACTCGGTTTTTTATCCTAGTAGATCATCTTCCTCAGCCAAGCTGCATGGATTGACAGATTACATAATATTCAAGAGTATTGGGTACATTTTTTCATACAAATTAAGTTCAAAGGTGCTGATTAAAGGAATTTGCTTTTGTATTGGTTTGTTGACTTTCTGTCTGAACAGGACAGTTTCTGTTTCGGCATTTTTCTTAAAAGTCTCATTTGCTTGATTATGTTAGTTAGGAATGTAGACTAGATAACTCCTTATGGTCATATCTTATTGGAAAAGATGCCATATATTTAATTGTTCTGCTCTCCAGCAAAGTATGATTTTTTGCAGTAAGATTTGGACAGAATTGTTTTATTTGTTTTACAGCATCATGCAAGTGCTTGGAGCTTTTCCTTCACCCAGCGGCCCCGCCTCCCCTTGCAGCTTGGTAAATGAAATCACCTTAATTAAATACTCCCGTCTACCATCCATAAACAAATACAGCTTCCGCTACTTTGTCCTGGACAACAGTGTCATTCTTGCAATGTTGGAACAGCCCCTTGGGAATGAACAAAGTGAGTAAATTCATTTTCTGCTTTTTCAAGTGAGTATGCAAAAGACCTTGCTAGAATTATGGCAAGATTTGTGTTAATGGATTCATTCCAGTTTGTGCAGCCAGGTGTTGGCTTAGATTGCCTCTGCACGGTTAAAACTAGTGCCCCATCTGTGTAGTTCTTGGAAATGCTTGACTTGACTACAGTAACACATGCCTTATATACATCCTTTTTGGATTACTGTATGCACAGCTGTCTTTGAAGACAGTTTGGAAACTTCAGCTAGTACAAAATGTTGCAGCCAGACCCTTGACTGAAGCTGCTTACAAGGATCATATAGTTCCCCCGTTGCAACAACCTCACTAGCTACCAGTTTGTCTCTGGGTCCAATTTAAAGTACTGGTTATGACATATAGAGCCCTATATAGCTATATGAAGGACCTCATATCACCTTCCTAGTCTCTCAGATCTTTGAGAAGGTCTTCTCTCAGTCCCACTGCTATCTCAGGCACATTTGGTGAGGACCCAAGAGAAGACTTTCTGTGGCTGCTCCTGTCCTGTGTAATTCTGTGTTTCATGAGCCTCCTGCTGGCTCGCAGGATTGTATTTTTAGTAGGAGACTGAGCATATTTTTATCAAATGTTTTAATTTTATTTTAACTTGTTTTAACTGATTTTTTAAAGACTCTTTTTGTTTAAATCATTTTAATGTTAATATCTTAATTTATTATAATTTTAAACAGATATATTCTAGTGATTCTATTGTGATTTTAAACATATATAGGCCTGTGTCCCTTCATTGAGAGAAATACAGAGAATAAATAAATAAATAAATGAGACTCATTAAATTTAATACAACATTAAAGGAATTATTCAAATAAGTGAGTATAGGATTCCATCTTTAGTGGCTTAATGAAAAAAGGTGATTTTATACCATTGCTCCCAAATGCCCACTCTACTTCAGAGCATAGAGGGCATTTGGTTTACAGAGCAGTTTTGGGCTATGAAATTATGAGACCGCTAGAGAGAAGATAGAGGAGAGGCCTGTTAGATGTTAATCTCACTGTGCTAAGTAAGTTGACGAGGAAATATTTAAATGCTATTAAGTTTGGGGAAAATACCTTAAATATCAGGATAATTGGTGAAGCACTAAACCAGCAGGCGTAGCTCTAGCGAGTTGTCTGCAGCCTCACCAGCCCTGGTCAACAAAGGCCTCAGTTTGGTGATTTCACCAGTGAACATATTGAAGCATTCTTCAGATCAAAAATGGAAACCATCCAACAGGACCTAGGCTCCTCTGGCAGTCCAGTGGATCAATCTGGGACTGCTGTCTTTTCTGATTCAGTTGGGCCAGTTTCAGCCTGTAACATTTGGGAATGTGACCAGAACACTGGTTCTGGAAGTGTAAGCCTCTCTGATTGATCCTTGACCAGCTTGGCTTTTGAAAACAGCAAGGAGGATTACTGTGGATTGGGCCATAAATATTATAGCTGCTTTGCCGAAGGAGGGCTTTATGGACTCCCATGCTTTTGGAAGGCAACAATTTTTTTATCTGATTTGAACTTCTTACTTTCTGGTGTACAGCATAGACTTAGCTACCATGCTGCACAAACTCTTAGTAGATCTGTAGTGATTTGATGAAATAGTGTAATACTTTCTGAGCTGCAGTGTAGGCATTCAAGGTAATTAACTACAATTTGGATCTATTTTCTGTTACTCTGGATGAAACTTCTATAATCATCAGGTTCTCCATTAAAGTGATTTTCACCCTATCAGCTCATTTGATATATGGACAATATCAGCTTCCTTCTGCTCCATCTCCCTTTGTCTACTTGGTAAATGAGGACGAACTTCTTAGTTCCTTCACCACATACTGAGGAGACCAGTAACCTCCATGCCAGCCATGGGCAGCTATATGCTTCTCCAACACAAAAGAATCAAGATTCTTTGCTTACTGACAAATTTGGCTAGTCCTTTAAACTTGTAACGTTTCAGGTTAGGAAGATCAAGCTCTTTTTTAAATTTCCTGTCATATCCACAGCTTCATGTTTAATTTGTTGCTATCAATATGTTCATAATACATTAATACAAATATATTTCTTCTTCAGATGACTTTTTCCCTTCAGTCACAATTCTGATCCGTGGGATGTCTGGAAGACATGCATGGACCCAGCAACTCTGCCTTTTGCCAAGAGGAGCCAAATCCAATCAAAAGGTCTTTACTGAAGCCCAACATGAAAATTACTTGCTGGGTTAAACATAGTTTTCCAAACAGTTCTGAGTCTCTGAAGTCTACAATATTGCTACATGTAGCAGGTTTCCAGTTTTAGCATCCTTCACTTTTTTCCTGTTTCTTGGACCAACCTAGTGCAGTAGTCATTATTAGGGAAAGGGTATTTCTAATTCTAGGACTTCTAGTCTCAAATGTCACTTCAGTACTGGGAGAGGAGAAGCCAGAAGGCAAAATAAATGTCTTCCTACCTCCGTATTGTGCTTCTTTCTATGTACAGTGGTGTCTCGCTTAATGATGTTAATTGGTTCCCAAAAAAACATCGCTAAGGGAAAACATCGCTAAGCGAAACAATGTTTCCCCCATTGGAATGCATTGAATAAGCTTCAATGCATTGCAATGGCGGAAACATTGTTTCGCTTAGCGATGTTCCGTTTTCACTATTTTAAAAGTGTCTTAAAATGCTCAAAAACTGTTCTAAATGCTTGGGATCGTTAGTGCGCCTTGTAAAACCTTTGCAAACTTAATTTGGCTTTGTTCTGACTCTTCGTTAATTTTTGGTGAATTCCCCCCCCCCATTGGAATGCATTGAATAAGCTTCAATGCATTCCAATGGGGGGGGGGAATTCACCAAAAATTAACGAAGAGTCAGAACAAAGCCAAATTAAGTTTGCAAAGGTTTTACAAGGGGCACTAACTATTCCAAGCATTTAAAACAGTTTTTGAACATTTTAAGACACTTTTAAAATAGTGAAAACGGAACATCGCTAAGCGAAACAGGGGACCTAAACTGTCATCGCTAAGCGAGGCAAGGTCCCGAACATTGCTATGCGAAATTTCCCCATAGGGAACATCGCTAAATGGAGCGCAAAATCGCTCCAAAAACCTCATCACTAAGCAAATCCATCGTTAAACGAGGCAATCGCTACGCGAGGCACCACTGTATATTGGCTGGGCAGCAGAAGGGAACACTCCACTCAATCACACTACTTCCTGGAAATCATCTCCATGCTCTGTGGGTAGGGTAATGTCACTACCCATGAGACTCTGTAAGGGAAGCCTTTCACTGAGCTACTCTCCCACAGATCAGTAAGATAACTTCCAGGAAGAAGTGCAACTGAGGGGGCATTCCCTTCAGCTAAGCCATATGGAGTGAAGCAGGCAAGAAAGACATTTTTGAAGTAAGGCATCTTTGTATTCTACTTTCTGCTCTCCTAGTCCCAAAAGTCTGCCTAGATGATTCTAGGTGACTTCAGTGACTGGAAATCCTAGAATTATGAAAAATACTTTACCTGATTATTATTCAGTTCTTGTTGCTTTCCCAGCTGTGAGATGCAATGTGGAGAGCTGCAATTTTGTTCATTAAAGGGCCTCAATTTTCAAACTAGGGACTATCTTTTCTGTATCTGTTGTTGTAGTGGTTATGAAGATATGCATAAACCTAATGTGAGAACAGAGTTGTATAAAATGCATCTCATTCTCTGTGTAGTGCTGACCTTGAAAAGCATTGAGGAACTGCAACTGGTCTGAAATTCAGCAGCCAGGTTGCTAATAGTAGCTAGGCATTTTCACTGTATTATGCATCTTTTAATTGAGTTGTACTGGCTGTTGGTTTGTTTCCTGGTTCAATTAAACATTTTACCATTAAATCCTGAAAAGGCTTGCGACCTAAATACCTAAGGACCACGTTCTTCTATAGCATCCCTCCTTCCTGCTCCTGTTACCATCTGAGGTGCCATTTCAGATCCCTCCAGTTTCATAAAGCAAAGCATGCTGCCTCAAAATACCAGCTGTTATAAAATCTACAATCTTTTTAGAGGCTGCACTCATGTTTTTATGCCAAGAGATTTGTAACTGACACCAAATTGTTTTAACTGCTATGTAAACACTTGTTTTAACTGCTATGTAAACACAGCAACCAACATGAATTTGACACAACTCCGGGAGGCAGTGGAAGATAGGAGGGCCTGGCGTGCTCTGGTCCATGGGATCACAAAGAGTCGGACACGACTAAACGACAACAAAACACTTGCCTATTTGAGGTGTTTGGCTGAAAATTTCAATAATTTGTGAATACATTGAAGTCTCATCATAAACTTACTTTTAAGATTATTCTGAATATTATTGATGGATTTTGTTTGTTTGTCTTAAGGTTCATTTTAGGGAAATAAATGGAATATAAACTATAATATTCAGGAATGAGTGTGATCAGCATATACTCTTGTTCACAAAGATGTTAAAATCAAATTTTACTTTTGATCGGTAGCTTTTCATCTTTACGTACCTGATTGCTATTTTCTTATTTCAGATGCATTTTATATTAGGCAGATACAGCCAAAACCAAAGGCTCTGATATGAGATGGAATAACCCATTAGAGAAACTGCCATGATTGTCTGAGTGCTGGTTTAATAATAACTTAAAATAATCAGCTTTATTTTGACCATCCTTCCTAAAAAAAAAAAAAAACCCACCCCCAAAAACCTATTTTGGTATCTGTATTAACAATAAGTTACTATCATATCAGTGAATCATTATATAGTAGTTGACACATTTAAAATAAGTAATTACATTGTTACCTTTCTTAAAATAGATGTTTGTCCCAGAACATCGACCTGCACCAAAAAATGATGCTGGAATCAAGTATAGTGTGAAACATCGACCATTTCCAGAAGAAGTGGATAAGATCCCTTTCGTGAAGGCAGACTTGAGCATCCCAGATTTGCATGAAATAGTTACAGAGGAAGTAAGAGGTTTATAATATTTTGATTTATTTTACTCAACAAAATCTGTTCTATATTGTATTTGAAGGGTTGGGATATCTCAGCAACTTTCCTGCTTTAGCTGTATCTACATTCTTCTAACAACAAGAAAGCTCCTGATGCATTGTATTTGAGCAGCCTTATCTGTTAAAAAGTCACTGCACACTGATCATAGAAACTAATCATTGCTGAAAGAGATGTTTTTCAAGAAATGGTTGCTGGACCAGAATGGATATCTTATTAGTCTTCTCTTAAATATCCTGTGATGACAAAGCGTCAGTTATCTTCTTGTAGCTACTCTTTGGTATCAAACCTTAATATAGGAGTGTCACAGTACAGGTGCAGAGCAGCAGACACTTGATTTCAGCAACCTAACAGTTGATGAACATCAGTGGTCAGAATTCTATTAAATAGAATGCAGAATCAAAACTGCAGCAGCTTTTTGGCACTCTGTTTCAGTGCTATTTGGCTTGTCAGATGAGCTGCCACATCTTTGTGGTCTCCGACTGCACTCAGCATTTTTTTTTTTTTTTTGGTGTCTGAAATGAGGATGTTTAAATACATTTCAGCTGGAAGAGCGGCATGAGAAACTGAGAAGTGGTATGGATCAGCAAGTTCTTTATGAGAAATCTATAGATCAGCAGATGGAGGAAGAGTGGAGAAAGAAGAATTTCCCTGATCCAATCACGGAGTGTAAGCCGCCACCGCCCGCACAGGAGTTCCAAACCGCACGCCTTTTCCTTTCACACTTTGGATTTCTGTCGCTAGAAGCATTGAAGGTGACTAGAAACTTCAGTTGATAGTGTATATTTTACTTCAGATATGGCCACTATCTAGAATTGGTACTAGTGCTGTTGAATGTTTGTCTGTATTAGGCTATACAGTAAAGCAGAACAATAAAACTGAAACAGATTCATGTAAAATATTTTCATAAACAAATTGGTCTCAACGTGTGGTACCTTTTCCATATACAGTGGTGCTTCACTTAACGACGATAATCTGTTCCAGGAAAATCGCCATTAGGCAAAAACATCGTAAAGCGAAAATAAAAACCCCATTGAAACGCATTGAAATCCGTTCAATGCGTTCCAGTGGGTAAAAACTCACCATCCAGCGAAGATCCTCCATACAGCGGCCATTTTCGCTGCCTGTATAGCGAGGGATCCGTCCCTAAACAGAGCGGGGAGCCATCGTAATCACCCGCCGGCCATTTTGAAACCGCTGATCAGCTCTTCAAAGAATGTCGCTTTGTGTAGAATTGGTTCCCGTAGCAGGGAACCAATCATTGCAAAGCGAAATTCCCCCATTCAGACCATCATTTTGCAATCGCAAAAAGATCGTTAAACAGATTCGTCGTAATGCGGGCCAATTGTAAAGCGAGGCACCACTGTAGATATAAAACTGACTTATTCATGGGTTGCATAGCAGATGGAGTAGTAAGCACCATTGCATCCTTGTTCACTGGCTGTTTGCCTGGAAAGCAGGGAGGTTGATAGCACTGATGAGAAGGCAGACTAACTGGGGGCATCAAATTAAGAGCTCTGAAAAACAGGAAGCTTACATAGCTTTTTGAATACCATCCTCTGTATAGCAAGGAAAGCCACAATTGTATTTTTTTCACTAGTCTGTTTGAAATGATGTGTTACTGTTGTAACAGTAAATTTAGAAACAGCAACCTGTATTTTCTGCTTTTTTGGTTGTCAGTGTTGTTCTTCAAATGTTAGTCAACAAATATTAGAAGAACACTTTTCTGAAGCACCAACGGTGTTACAGATGCAAATTGCACAACTGCAGCCTTGTCTTTCTACAATGCAGAAAGAGACATATGATGGGACATTAGATTGTGCATGACTTCTGAACTTACTTATATATACAGTGATGCCTCGCTTAGCAATCGCTTTGCGATGTCACCTATGGGGAAAATTCTCTTTGCAATGATCGCGGGGAAGCGAAAATCGCAAAGCCCCCATTTTCAGCCAGCTGATCAGCGATTCCAAAATGGCTGCCGGGGAAAAAATGGCCACCTGCTGTGTTGCCTCGCTTTAGAGGCACCAAAAATGGCCGCTGCAATGGAGGATTTTCACTTAAGGTTAGTTTTTAAGCCCATAGGAACACATTAAACGCGTTTCTATGGGCTTTTTAAAATCGCTTAGCGATGTTATTGCTTTGGAGCGATTTTTGCTGCACGGATTAACATCGCTAAGTGAGGCACCACTGTACTTTATTTTGGAAAGACTACCCTCTTTCCACATACTATATGGCTTCAAACAACTAATGATGATACATATCTCTTCTCTGAGAAGAATTTTTTAATATCTGCATATTACATCCTCCATACAGAGCACATTACCATAATCTTTCGAGACTGAAAGATGCCTAATCTAATTATATACAGTATTAACTAATTTAAGTAGCTTGTTACAGTTCACAAAGAGATTATATACTATCATAAAATTTGCATGGCTTCTGTTTTTGGGCAGGAACCTGCTAATAGCAGACTACCTCCTCACCTGATTGCACTTGATTCTTCTCTACCTGGGTTTTTTGATGACGTTGGTTACCTGGATTTGTTGCCATGTCGTCCTTTCGATACCGTTTTTATTTTCTACATGAAGGCAGGCCAAAAAACAAGCCAAGAAGTAAGTGGCATGCTGGTTTGTTTTACTCTTGCTTTTATTAAAACAGTACTGTTTAGTGAGAGTGTATAGTACAAAAAACAGGTGGATATTCTGAATTAAATAGAAAAATATAACTGTACAGATTTCATATATCTGCAAGTATATAATGTAAGCCCTGAGAACTGATAGCCATTCATACATTTTTTAGTGGTTTGCATGTAGCAACACTGTATCATGGTTTAAGATTGTATGCATGATTTGGAACAGGTTTTAACAAAGTTTTGTATCCATATTTCACTGTCTTCATCCCATGCAGGTGAATTTAATTTTACAATTATTGAATTCAGGCCAGTTTTAGTTGAAATGAGGAAGCTTGATTTAAAATTAACTCTGATTTAAAAACCGAGTTGAAAACAAAACATAAACCAGATTTTGCATCCATGCTTTAAAGCTGGCTTCTTAGCAGATGGTTTTTTGTGGGGTTTTTTTTGTTTGAATGTAACACTAAGCCAGAGTACAGTAAGGGTGAAACTAAACTCTTTTGAAGGCGTCATCGTAATTTGCATGGGAATAGGATGAGAGGTTCCAGCCTTATCCTGCTTGTGTATGTAGTGACAAGTCATGGTTTTGTGTTATGTGCAAATTAACATGAAAAACATGGTTTAAGAAATCAACATTGTAGCTGGGCATAAAAAGGACAGAAGGAGAGTATGGGGGTCACAGGGGCTGTTGTCAATGGTATTCTCTCTTTCAGTTTGACTAGATGGCATATACATTCTTGGATGATGGCTAGTACCTCTGGACAGCACTTATAAGGCTTCCAATTATAGAAAAGTAATTTCATTTTTTAAAAATAGACTTCAGTAGAGATGATTTGTATGGCCTTTTGTCCTTTCTGGAATGCTGGCCTCTTTTTCCTTTTTGTAGATTTTGAAGAATGTAGAGTCTTCCAAAAATGTTCAACCACACTTCCTAGAGTTTTTACTCTCTCTTGGTTGGTCAGTTGATGTGGGAAGACACCCTGGGTGGACAGGGCATGTCTCAACTAGCTGGTCCATTAACAGCTTCTGTGATGAGGAGGGATCTGAGCAAGGTGAGACTTTTTTGTCTAGATAATCTGTTTGCTTCAATACTTTGTGTTATTAACACATCACTGATCTTATTGTTCCAGAGAGTGATAAGATCCAGAAGCAGATCTTCCTGCCCTTCTAGTCATAGATTGGGTGAATTGAATATTCTTGTGGAGAACCCTCATTTATCTACATAGGTTCTGAAGAGAGAGACAGTAACTGTACATTTACATTACTGTCACCTCAGTGTGACTGGAGAGAAATACCGTATTTTTTGCTCCATAAGACGCACCTGACCTTAAGACACACATAATTTTTAGAGGAGGAAAACGGAAAATATATTCAGAACCAAATAGTGTAATAAAATATTTAATAAACTATAACAGAATAACATTTGAACCATGTAAAGTGAACAGCAGTCAACAGTGGCATTAAGAACCATTACCACTGCCATTAACAAATGGAGAGACTTAAAGCTTTGTGTACTCCAGTTTATGTACGATAAATTTGTGTACCATAAATTTAATTCAAGTACATATAGACCATTATCAGCCAGTGATAAGACCTATACCACTCTACCTATATTTTACATTTCCTTTCGTCCACCTCCTCGCCATGCTTATAGAAATGTCTCAATGACAGATGAGACTGTTGTGCAACTCTGCCCAGCTACAGCTCAAGCCTATATTAAGTTAGAAATGGTTTGTCTGATTTGGCACTGCATTGAGAGGTCCCTTTTAGTTGTGTGGAGGATAAATAGTGGAATTAAACTATTTAACAGCTGGTTTTCCTTATTTACTTTACGTTATGCAAAAGAACAGTAACACAAAGCTTAACCTGATCCCATTCACCAGCAGTAGCACATGCTCAGCATAAGACCAAGTCTCCATTTTCTGACATA